ATAGGGTGTCGATATCAGCGATTTACTGATGCGGCGATGCTGCTTGGTGGACGACACCACGCAGCTAGCCACAGGAGTGATAAGGCCGAACGGGGGCACAAGAGGCAACGAAAGTCGTGAGTGGAGGGTGGTTGAATGGGTGGTGGTTTGAGGGAGAGGGGGAGAGGGGGGGAGAAGAAGACCTGGGAGGTTGGGGGAGAGCGGGAAGTGAGGTGGAATTGGCATTGGCCGCTGCCGTTGGCGCGAGAAGCGAGGCCACAGGCGATAGACGAACAACCGCCGGCGCTGGGACCAAGAGCGCCCCAGTACCCAGTACCACAGAACGCTACGTCAGGGACGTTTCAGGGAAGATCAAAGAGATTTTACAAGGGGATTACTTTAAATTTAGCTTTTTAATTTTCGAAAATTTATTATTTATTTAAAGAAGGGGAAAAAAGAAAGGAAATACTCTAATAATCACTTATTAACCTAAACCTACAGAGCCGCATCCGAGGGCCCATTTCTGTAGAGAAGATGATGTCTTAATAGTCCAGATCCGCTGAAGAGCTTTCCGGGAATGGAGACTAGGACCGGGACTGAGACTGGTGGAACTGGAACTGGGCTGGAATGGAACTGGGACTGTGGCTACCAGACTTCAGGTAAGGTTGGATCGGCACGGTTGCACGGCCCGGAGTGACTAGAGCGGCTAGAGTAACCCCCATCCCAGTGATATAAAATACGCCGTGTGATAAACACCCACCAAGTATCTATACATTCTAGCACTACTATTCCCAATTCATATATATAATATTATCTAAGAGCAACAGCAATAGTATCTATTTGATTTCTTATTCAATATACCTTTTCAAATAAATATTACAAACTGTTAAAGTAGTAGATTACAGAACAATATATACCCTAGTGAAACTCGAGCGTCGCGAAGACATTCAACCCCCATTCCGTCAATTTCTGAACATACACACAGAGACATAACACGGAACTTGGCAATAAGCGGGGCGAAATGGTATGCGAATTGGACGGTCGGGCGGTAGGAGGAGAGAATAGCGAGATAGACAGGACTTGGAATTTTGAATCGGCTCAGATATCGGAGAGGTAAGCGGCGATATTACCGATCGGGTTTGAAAAAGTAAGGCATTGCCATCTTAATTTTCAATCGCGTATCAAAAGGATAATCCAGTGGTGTCATGACAATTATGCCTTGTCTTGTAGCCCAATACTGTACCATAAGCGAAGCATACTGGCCAAATAGATGAATATGACACTCAGGAGGCCGACATAACAAAATCCTGCAACCTATAAGGTTTTAATATCGTAGACACCCAGACAAAATTCAAGGTACAGACCACTTGATCGGATCTTTGCTGATCCGGCTTCGTGACTTTCGTCATATCCCAAACAAAAACGATGTATCCACCCAGCCAGAAGTATATGCTACACTCAAGCAGACCGACTGCAGTTTGCCACAGAATAACCTGATGCCAGTAGGGGATTCTTCTTCCTGTGGGAGAAGCAAAGCTGAGAATCTCGCGAAGCGACGAGTCCGAGTTTGAGAGACACCCCACCCGAACAAGGAAAACACTCTGTTGCATACCGACTGCAACGGCTCCAATAGCTAGCACTAGACTATTGAACCAGGCTATCCGAATCATGGTAAGCGGGACGGTCGCTGCCGTTGAGAGTGAATCCCATGAAAAGGACCCCACGACAGCGGCACTCATTACCGCACCCTAGCAAAATGTTAACTGTGGTGCTTAGGGTCGTGCTTTTGACGAGCCCTCGCTCTGACTTACAATCAATCCAACATGAGATAACTGAGATAATGTTGACTCTCTCCATCTTTTAATCAATAGGCTTTGTTTTTGAAGATCTGTGGCATTTACCATTTCATACATAGAGGTATATGCTACTCGATACGCAGCAGCGTGAAAGGTAAAAGCTCTTTCTAGGAATGTCATAGTCAACGGAGGCTGCCTAGTATGGGTAGCAACCTAGATTTTGCCTTTGTAAAGTATTGAAGATGTTGGAGTCAAGACCTAGTAACTAGTTGAAGTAGCTTCTTGGGGCTATTGAGGGGCCTTGTGCGTCTTGGATGGATCGTGCCTCTTGTATGGAAGAGAATGGATATCTTTATTTCTGCGAACCGAGTGCCTGATTCAGACCAACCCATTTGCAACGAGGCTGTGTGAGAGGGGGCAGTGCTTCGTATGCGGCCGCCCAAATGGAAATGTGATCACAATCATGCAAATTACAACGAGTTCGGTCAGTCTTATTGGGGGATTCTTGGGCTGGGGCACCCGGGCAACCCTCACGCGTGTGCGATCGGCATTTGCCTAGAGATTCAGCCAGCTCGGTTTACCAAGCACTAAATTATAAATTTGTAGTCTATCCTCAGGCTGTAGTAAGAAACAATCTATCTCCAAGAAATCCACGGTTGACCACTGAACCGAGGATCCTGTCGCCGAGTCTTGTCTAGGTAGAACAATTCAAATTAGCAGTCCTGGAGAGATTTGTCACAGGATTTCAGCCTCATTATTTTGAGCCTCGTTCTTCCCAAGCCAATATATTTCTCAGCCTTGCGACAGAAGAAGTTTCTCGATATCTGACAATTACGGTCACTTCTAAAACCCCCCACAAAGTTCGATTAAGCTTGACGGTGCAAGGCACATTGATTTCCGTTCTCAGACCTCCATTCTATCTTTCACACCAAGTGTTCCAGAATGGGCTGGTTAGGAAAAAAGAAGTCTACTATTTCATCCTCTTCCGCTGGTGCCTCTTCTTCGCCTCGACACATAACTCAAAATGCCCTTGCTTATTCCGGAAGAGAGAAAGTTGATGTTAGGGCACCATACGTGTTCCACAACATAATCAATTCTCGTGGCAAAGAACTAATTAAAAACAATACATTTTCGCAACTATCACACCCCCAGCGCTTTGTAAACGGATGTTACAATATTGGATTCTATCAGATTGCTGAAGGCAAGGAACATCAGATGCGGCCTGATAGTACCTACGAACGACAGCCTTGGACGGTCGGTATCGCTTACAATGAATTTAATTCCATCCGTTGGACACGGGCGGACTCTGAAACGATTGCCCACTGGGGAATTTACATCCGGTCCCAGGGTAATGAGGTCCGTCACACACACGCGCACATTTTTACCACTCGAACCGAGATACTAAATCGATACATAGGCTGCCCCGAACCGGATATTCGGCATGAATTGGGAAAAAGGCCTTGGTAGTTCCCTTATTCTGGAAGATGTTTGGGGAACTAAAAGGACAAGGCAAGAGTGGGAACTATAAAAAACAACTCAAAGATGGGGAGTTCACAAAAGTCCGTGCCTTCCCAGAAACGACGATGTATTTCAGTCTGGAGGAATTTGTTCTTGAAGGTAAGTGAAATTGGGACGCTGTTCAAGGAGTCAAAATTATAATCTCTTACTAACACGAATTCTGTGTTGGTAGTCCAGTGGCTTCTTCACCAATTTATAGGCGGAAGGCTCTATACAGGTCATACAACTGGTATAATTTCTCCTCATCCTGGCGCAGCTTATTCTCTGCCCTTTGGGAATTGCCAGCACTTTGCTAAACAAGTCTTGACTAGCCTGAAAGCTCGCTGGACTGATAGCCAGAGACTGAGTCAGCGATTTACCCTTTCCTCACTCGAGAGTAGAATGCTGAGCGCGCTTAAAGAAGAGTCGGTGGACGGGTACCATCAGTTAAGGGGAGAAACGTATGTGATGGAATCGTCGCGTGGAAATGCAATGTCCTTTGGAGGGGCAGCGTTTAGGAATGGATTCTAGATACACCTGACCTCCACATATCCCTCTCCTATGTATGTAAATCGGGCCCAGCACGCAGTCCAATACAACTCTCAATAGCTCTTGCATCTCTCCCCCGCGTATCCTACGTACAGACTTCAAAGGGACTACCCCCAATGCACCGTAATATTTCTGGAACGACCCCGATTCAAAATTAGGGAGCTAGTGCGAGAACGGGATAGCATGGTGATGACAGCTGAGTATTCGAACTAACACGGCAGATGAAAGAGCTAGCCTACGAGCTGTCCTCTTAACATCTGAAGTGTCTGGAAAGGGTCGAGCGCGATGTTATTGACCAAAATTGACGGTACTTAATCATCCTCAGTTTTTACATATAGCCAAGATAAAATGATTTTGACATCGCGGAGAGAAGGGCTCTAAGTAGCTTTGTTGATGATATAGATTTGACTTTGCGGGTTCAGAAATCCAGAATGTCACAAAGGTACTAGTATATGAAGGCAGGATCTTTTGGCCTGATGGGATACACGTGAGTAATGCACGTGATAGTGAGATTCCATAATTATACTTTCTACTGTACTGTTCTTATAATTTTTAATTTTTAATCAATGTGTTAGGAGTAATCGGGCTTGAATATACGGGCACCTGGGTACAGTGTATTTTATGTCACCGGGACGTCGGGGTTAGAGTGACTACCCTGTCCCTCTGTAGAAATGAGCATGGGTTGCCTGATGCCTTAATGCCTTGGTGCCTGACATTTCTGCTACCAAGAATTGCCACTTTAGGCTTTAGGTTCCTGAAGACTATTTATGTCCATCCTGCATATTGTGCTTATTCTTAAGTTTCTGTACTCTATTCTCTATACTCCGTCTACGGAGTATTATATAGATATATACATACTTCGTATAGGTAAAAGAGGTACCTCGTAGTGGATTCCACTTATGCAGGTACTAGACTCCCTTTACCAGTCAATGGGCTGATCGGTCCCCGCTGGGAACCATCCGATCTTTTTTTAATCCGAGTCCCCCTATCTGTCCACAGAGAGGCGTGGCTTATTAAGAGTTCCAGGGTTCCCTTGTAACGGCAGACCCCGTTCCGCGCTGGTGTGATGCGGGCAGAATTTATTATTGCCCCCTCGACTCCAACAATCTCTCCCCTTTCAACCCACTCTCCTTTTCCCTTTCTTCCCCCTCCACTTTCGCTTCACCCGTGTGATTCGATATGGATATTATTCTAGAACTCTGGGACACCTTCATTGGTGATCGCCTTTATTCCTCCGTCCTCCCCGCCTCCCTTTCTTCCTCAGTCTCCCTGCCGGCATTCGCCAATGTCGCCAACAGTTCGCTCGCCCTCTTCGGCGCGTCGGAGCCATTCGTCTATGAGCCCGCCACTCAGATGCTTCACTTGGAACCTTCCAAGTATGCCTATCTCAGTGCCTGGCCGCGGAATAACATGTACCGCCAATTCACCAGCTTCTTCTTGATCACTTGGTATGCGCCACTCCCCTGGTTCTGCAAGGCCGGCCAGACCGGCTCTGCAACATTTTGGTACTTTGCTTCTTTGCTACGCCCTCAGAGACTAATTCATTGTTCGCATTAGGATCTTCGGACTATTTGTCTACTTCGTCGTCGCCTCCCTATCGTACATCTTCATCTGGGACAAAACTACCTACAAGCACCCCAAATTCCTCAAGAACCAGATATCCATGGAAATCAAACAAGCCATGGGCTCCATGCCCCCAATGGCCCTCCTGACGGCTCCATTTTTCGTCCTAGAAGTCCGCGGATACGCCAAACTCTACGATACTACCGCCGAGGAACCCTTTCCCTTCTACAGTATCCTGCAGTTCCCATTCTTCATCTTCTTCACCGATTTCTTCATCTACTGGATCCACCGAGGCCTGCACCACCCGCGCGTTTACCGAACCCTGCACAAGCCGCACCACAAGTGGATTATGCCTAGCCCTTACGCTTCGCACGCTTTCCACCCCCTGGACGGCTGGTCGCAAAGCGTGCCGTACCACGTTTTCCCGTTCATTTTCCCGCTCCAGAAGGTCGCTTACGTCTTCCTGTTTGGTTTTATTAACCTCTGGACTGTGTTTATTCACGATGGCGAGTACGTTGCCAATAGCCCTGTTGTGAATGGTGCTGCTTGCCACACTATGCACCATTTGTACTTCAACTACAACTACGGCCAATTCACTACTCTGTGGGATCGCCTGGGTGGTAGCTACCGCAAGCCTAATGAGGAACTCTTCCGTCGGGAGACTAAGATGGGAGATAAGGAGTGGAAGCGTCAGGCTAAAGAGATGGAGTCGATTCTCAAGACCGTCGAGGGCGAGGATGACCGCAAGTACTCTGCGGATACGAAGAAGGATCTTTGAGTCTTCTCTCACCGTGTGGGTTCCGGTTTCCCACTTACTCTGACCTGATCTGACCTGATCTGAGATTTCTCTCTCTCTCTTTTCTTGCACAAGTCCAGATGCTTTTCTATTCTGAACTTGTTCTTCTTTTGAAACTGCATTGAGGCGGGAGCTCAAGTTGACTGAGTCCTCCCACTCCCTTCGTTTCGTTAAAGTACATTAATTTCGCGCTGTGCACACCCACTACACATATTTTAATACTCACAAAAATGGACCCTCACCTTATTGGGATCCTTGGTCTGCCTTTTATCTGTACATAGTTCTCAGCATGGCGACCAGAATGCATTTTGATGACGCGCAAATGGAAATTTAATACAGTCTTTCTATATAACAAATTTCTTGCATATATTATGTAGCTAGTAGCACCTAGCATTTAGCACCTTACACCATAGCAAGCTTCATGATGGTTCTTCTTGCCTGTATATCTGATTTCTATTTCTGGTAATATTTGCTAGAATTCAGGCTATAGAATCAGACTCTATAGGCTCGACTCAACCAAAAGTACTAGTACTAGTGGTCTAGTTACTCAGCCCTGTTGGTGGTCTCCGTGGGTATGATATGTACATTCAAGATCAACCCTTATCCTAGGTGCTCACTTGCTATCACTTGACCTAACCCCCCTTTGAATAATCACACACCTCGACCCTTCATTATGATGAAAGCCATAAAAAGCCATATCCTGCTCATTATTCGGCCAGACTTGCACATCAAACGGATCTTGGAAGCGATCCTGTCCCGGAGCCATAAAGTTATGCATTTCAATAACCCGTTCAGCCTGTTTGATATCACCACATTCCAGAACTGTCACTTTCGTTCGTAGTTTATATGATAACTCAAGGATACGGCGATAGAATATATCCTCAGGCCGGACGTCCCCCATGGCAGAAGTAGGAGTAGGAGTAGGATTAGGAGATTGTTGAAATTGAGGCGGGAGAGGAGGAACCAGAGCCAATTTCGGTTCGAAAAGCCTCACACTTCGCGCAGTAGTCCCGTTCCGAAAATCACTGCTCGAAATATAGGGCGGGTTCGATATGAGTAGATCACACCCGGGTTCAAGGTTGAGGGGAGCTTCGCTCATTTCCGTTTCTCCAGGTTGATCGAAGTATTCAGAAAGAATTTTCTCCACGTTTGGGATTCCGTCAGCATCATCACCGCCATCAGCACCCGGGGGAAATCCCAAGACATCCGCGCGGTGGAATTGTATATCGGTCGATGCACGATGGGTCAATAAGCCCTGTTGCAGATTATGGTCCAGATTTTTGCGTGCTAGACTTAATGCTTTGGAACTAATGTCTATGCCCATTACGCGGAGGTGTTCGAATCGCGGGGACAGAAGGGCGTGGAGGAGGAGGGTTATGCATCCTGTTCCTGTGCAGAGATCTAAGATCCGTAGCGGTTTTGGATCATTTTTGTCGGTAGATGTAGAAGACCTCTCTGAGGCCGTGGCCATCTGCTCCACTAACTTGGCTGCTTGAACAACATAAGATTCTGTATCTGGCCTGTGTTCGAGTCAGGGATTGTAATCCTTCAAATTTCAAGTATTGTGTATGTGATATGATATGTATCGTACTACTGTACTGTACTGTACCACGCACGGAAAGATTTCGGATTTCAGTCTATGTACCTTGGGATTAATACGCCGGGTCGGCAGAGGATCTCTAGGTCACCGAATGGTTGGTCACCTAGGATATATTGGAGCGGATAGCCGCGTGATCTTTGGCGACACATGGATATCAGGTGCATCTTCCATTCTGCCAGTGGTGTTGTTGGGTTTGGTTGTTGGCGCGTTCGCGTCTGGCTGGTGCGAAGCGCGTGTTCGCGCAGCCAGCGAAGTTCATTGCGTGCTGATCCGAGGGTACGGCATTCTTTTAGAAGTAATGGGAGGAGTGGATTGTCTCGGTAGGCTTTTATGAGGGCTGAGGGGCGTATTCGAGGCATTTGATAGAAGGTGTGGGTGTTGTGAGGGCATTTTGCGGAGGGCAGTGCCAAGGATGAGTGGGGAAGACGGAATGGAAGGATGGAAGTATACGAGTACGGTGTAGAAAGATTCGAAATTCCCCGACACGACGGGAATATGTTTATGCTATTTTTATTTTAGCTCGTCTTTTTATTGAGGGGTTTCTCGTGTTACTCGTATGTTGCGCCCGGCTTTTTATGGGGAAGGGGACGGGATAATACGAGATAGTAGGAATATATCGTATAGTATGTGAAGTCGGAAAGGAGAGGAGAAATATGGAATCTAACAGAGTACACCTACTACTAACTAGTCTATGCATGTATACGTATGTAGCCTATACCATACTATCTATTAGCTCGTAAACACTCGCTGGTCATAAAATTAAGGATTATTGAAGAAACCCACGTTAGCCTTAAATCGGCCGGACGCGGCGCCAATCGAAGGCGGCTAACTCAAAGCAGCTGGAGGGGTGGACCTCCCCCCATCCGCGTCATCAACCGCCCCAGCACGTACGCTGCGTACGTATGCCAGGCAGAAAGGTTTACAACCTTCCATTGTGGCTTTATGTGGCAACGGTGCAAATACAGCAGAGTACGAGAACGACAGCAGCGCTTTATGGCGGATCATTCGGCTCCCGTGGATGAACCAGGGTCAAAGTTGCCGACTTGCCGTGACAAGATCATATTAACGATGGCGGTGCACAACTGGTGACGACACTCAAGCTCCACCCTTCAACTGCGCTGCTGGCTACTCGTAAGTCTGGGGCCGATAGCCCTGTGAAACTGACCTGACGATCCTATCTCTACTTTTCTATATTCATCTTAGTCTCCCATCGCCAATCTCTTTTTTTTTTTTTTTTTTCACTCATCCCATCCCAGCCTCTCCTAACCTAACATAACCTTCCGACCCTCCGACACCTACAGCCAAGTTTGTCTGACATCCACCGCTTCCGTCGATTGACTTGTTCCAACGCTGCCGAAAAGGAACACTCAAACCGAACAATAAGAAAGCGGGCCGATCGCCCATCTACATTCTTGACGGGAAGGTTATAACCGCGGGGAAAGCCAAAATCTGAGACAAAAAGACAAAAATGAGGAATTCTTGGCTTCTCTGGGGAGCATGGGCATCCCTTGCGTTGCCCGCGTTGGGACTCACCCTCCACGAGCGCGATGTCCCGGCTGTGATCGGCATGGACATTCAACGCAAGGATGTCGTTGACCCCGCCGCCCGAGATCGGGTCCGAAGGAAGCGCGACAAGACTATCGGCCAAACACTAGACAATGAAGTATGTCTCCAGCACTCCAGCTATTCTCCAGCTATATTCCAAAAATGACTCTGCTAACAACTTCCTCGCAATAGCAAACGCTCTACTTTTGCAATATCACCCTGGGCACCCCCAAGCAAAGCTTACGCTTGGTAATGGACACCGGCAGCAGTGATCTGTGGGTCAATACTCCCAATTCCACCCTTTGCGATTCCAAAGACAACCCTTGCTCGGATTCCGGTACTTATGATGCGAGCTCGTCGTCATCGTACTCTTTCGTCTCGTCCGATTTTAACATCACCTATGCCGATGGCTCCACTGCATCTGGTGACTACGTGACCGACACTCTCACTGTCGGTGGGACGACTATCAAGGACTTTCAATTCGCCGTGGGATTTACCTCGGCCTCGTCAGGTATGCAATATCTATTCACTCTGGCCCATAACATAGTCGGTGACTGGGATTGGTGACTAACGCTTTGAATGTAGAGGGTGTACTGGGAATCGGATACACATCCAATGAAGTCCAGTCAGGCCAAAATGGCGGTAAAGCCTACAACAACCTACCCAAAGAAATGGTCAACAAGGGCCTGATCAAGTCCAACGCCTACAGTCTCTGGTTAAACGATCTAGATGCCAGCACCGGCTCAATTCTATTTGGCGGAGTGAATACAGCGAAATACCACGGCTCGCTAGCGACACTACCCATCCAAAAGGTCGGAGGTGCTTACCATGAATTTATCATCGCCTTAACAGGCGTTTCTGTCTCCACAACATCCAAAACACACAACTACTCCTCAAAGGCGCTGCCAGCAGGCGTGCTACTCGATTCGGGAAGTTCCTTGACATACCTACCAGACGCCATCACGCAAGATATCTACAATGATCTGGATGTTACATACGACTCCTCGAATGGAATTGGTATTGTTCCTTGCAGTCTTGCCGAGAAGGATGTCAACGTCACCTATACCTTCTCCTCTCCGGAAATTAACGTTGCGGTGGGAGAATTGGTCCTCGACATGGGTGACTATCATTACAATAATGGAGAACGGGCTTGCATATTCGGTATCGCGCCTGCGGGTAGCAGTACCGCGGTGTTGGGAGATACGTTCTTACGCAGCGCTTATGTCGTGTATGATCTTGCCAATAATGAGATCTCTCTCGCCAATACACACTTCAATACGACAGATAACAATGTTCTGGAAATTGGCACCGGCGCGGATTCAGTGCCCAGCGCCACGGGTGTGTCTAACCCGGTGACATCCGTTGCTGTTGCCGGTTCCGGCGCGCGTATTGGTGGTATCGGTGGTGGTGGTGGTGGTGGCGGTGGTATTTTAACGACAACGGAGAATGCGGCGCCGAAGCAGACGGGCATGGCTCATCATTTCGCTATCGGTTTGGCTGGTGCTGGATACTTGCTTGCTCTGTGAGGAGGTGGGATGTCAGTAATGCCTTTATGTTGTTGTTTCCTCTCTGTTTTTGCGTTTTCTTCTTCTCTCTTGCCGTTTCTGCACTGCATATATTCTGGTGTATTTGGTGTTCGGATGGAATACCTCGTTTTGATCTTGTGAATATTTCTTTCTTTCACGTGTTATGAATTTCAAGTATTTAATTCTAAAGCCTAGAATTACTCTCAATTTTAGAAGTCCTTTTTAAATGTCTCGATCAGCATTTCGGTACAGGTTAGTTCTCATGTGTTGGCTTCAGAATGACACGGTACTACTACCCTTTAGCCAAAAGTTAGCCAACTGCAGACCGCTACAATAAGAACAGAATACCCGTAACCAGAGATGCAACCTTTAAAAGGTTTTCCTTATCGGAGATTTGTCTTCATTCATCCAATTCTATAATACAAATGCCAACCTCGGATCAAAATCCAAGCTAACCATCCAAACTGTTATACAAGCCATGACCCCCCCCCCCCCCACCCTTATTGAATATACAAACAAGTACACTTCAAGCCAACCCCATCGCCCTCTTAACCTTCCGCATAGTCAAATCCGCACTACCCTGCGCAACCTCCCCACCCTCCCGCGCCACAGAATCAAGATACCCACTCCTATCATCCATAATCCCAAGATATCTCTCACGAATCCCAGCCAGACTATCCGCAATACGACTACCAACATGTTCCTTCAATGACCGAAGACTAGCAGTCTCGTACTCCGAGGCAATCTCCTGACAAGTCACTCCTTCAAAGTGGCTCAGGATCTCGATTAGATTAGAGACACCGGGTCGATTGGTGGGGTCGTAGCTGATTTTTGGTTCCGAGTCTGTGAGGGCTACTTTTACCTTTTTCTGGATCTCGGCGGCGGAGTCTGTGAGGAGGATTCGGGATTTTGGGTCCGGGTGTGATTTGGACATTTTGTTTTGCGGTTCTTTTAGGGACATTACGCGTTTGGCGGGGGCTGGTGTCGTTAGTCGTTTTTAGTCTCCCTTTTTGGGGTTGGTTTTGCGTTTTGGGCTAGTGACTCCGTGTTCTTGGAATCAATACTTTTCAACTTACAAATGAGTGCCTCCGGCGTAGGAAAAATGTCACCGTAGAGGTGATTGAAACTGTTCGCGGTGTATCGGGAAAACTCAAGGTGTTGTCTTTGATCTTCTCCCACTGGGACATGGGTAGCTCTGATACATTGATTAGCAAGGGAACCAACCGTAATAGAAAAAAAAAGTCTTCGTCTTTCAAGGGTGTCGACCATACCGGTGAATGAGGATGTCCGCAGCCTGGAGCACGGGATATGAGAAGAGGCCGAGACGTAGTTGTGCCCGGGCCTCTGAGTCTTCGAGGCTTGCATCCTCGGGAAGTTGGAGTTTGCTCTGTGTTAAGTTAAAAAATGCCAATTTCTCGTTAAATAGAGCTAGCAGCTTGCGACAGCGACGCGCTGAAAGATAGCATGCTTCGCTTCACTCACCTTCCACTGCGTCATACGCGAAAGATAACCCATTGAAGCAACCGTACTAAGAATCCACATTAACTCCGTATGTGCCGGTACCTGGAATCAGTCAGTATAATGTTCTCTTCTCTATCTTATTCGGATTCGATTGCTTGGTCCGGGATGGGAGGGATGGCATGGCATGGCTGTGCTTAGCCGCTTCAAAACATACAGAAGATTGATAAAAGATCGTCGACCTCTTCGGATCCAACCCAACAGCCAAAAGCGTCGCAAAAGCCTCCCGCCTCCAAGTCCGTAATTGCTTCGCGTCTTGCGGAACAGTTAAGGCGTGTAGATCCACGATTGAAAAGAGTAGTTTTGTACCCTCTTCCGCTGAGTCTTGGAGCTTTACCCATTCGCGTAGGGCGCCGAGGTAATTTCCTAAATGTGGGACACCGGTTGGTTGGATGCCGGAGAAAATTACTGGGTTTTTTTTTGGATGCTTCTGTTGGGCTTGGGCTTGTGCTCAGTGATCGATGCTGTTGCTGATGTCTTTTTGATGGTTGAGCGACTCCCGGACGGAGATGGGTGAAATTCCCATTCCGACTCGCGGGCCTCAATGGATTGGCCCCGTGGCGAGTGATCGAGACGCGCATTGTGGCCATCGTCGAATGACACTGGTATTCAGGAGTTATCGGCCACACCGGAATGGATTCCTGTGCTTTTTTGGAGACGATACCCGTGTTTCCGCCGCGTGGGATGGCACGATATCACGTGATGGTGATATAGGAGCAGGACCTATATAATTTAGCACTTTAGCACTGTCATGATAGGGTATGAACTACAGCAGTCGTTCATAAACAAATATACAGCTACTACTATATATCTACTCTGAGATTACTACTGGACCGGAGGAGCCGAAGCAAATAAGCATGCAACTAGTTGAAATCCCGATTTCAATTCAGGGTTGGATTGGATATGACGGAGTAGAATACAGATGGCCCCGTTAGGCTCGTAAAAAAGGTGGTAGAAAAAAAATGAACAATAGTACACATAATTGACGCCCAGGTTGTTTTCCCCAAATATGCAAAGCAAATCCCCCCCAAGTCAATGGTACAAACCAATATAAGACAAGGATTGGATGGATTACGCCCGTGCGCTCTTACGCTCAGCAAATCGATCACTGTCAAGAACATCGAACATGTTGTTTCCAGCGGAGTTATCCTCGCGCTGGCCGAATTGGGCGAGGTGCGGTTCGAGGGTCTTTTGGATTTCGGTGGCGGATTGGTCCATGGCCTTGCCGACGTCTGTTATAATTAGAGTAATTATTAGTACCACTGTAATCTTTATTGAGATGTTTAATATTGGGGGGTTGGAACGTACCGAGAGACTCATGTTCCCAAACATTAGCCTTCATACCAACACCATAGAAAGCATGCTTGCGCAAGAAAGCCAACCAAGCCTGCACAGACTGGGGATTTCCATCCTTAATCTGAATAAGACGGCGGAGGGTGATCCGCTCGAAATTCTCCTGGCTCTTCTTGTGTACGAAGTTGCTTCGCGGGACGGTCCAGCGTTCGACGATACGGGGCAGAGGCACGGGTCCGGAAACGGGGAGGTTGAGGTAATACGCGGCGCGGATGGCGAAGTCGGCGAAGAATTCGACGTTCTCGACGCTGTAGGATCGGAGTTGGAGATCGCAGACTGGTAGGCCGTGTTCCGCTTTTCGGCGGAGGGGGCGCAAGTATACTGCTTGGACACTGCGAGGTAGACGGGCGTTGTTGTCGAGAGCTCCCATGCGCTCGGACCTGGTGGTGGTTTATGATGAGCAATGGGTTCTTTCCTTTTTGAATTCGGTTTGTGGAGCTGGTTGGCGTTATGTGCTCGCTTGACTTACCATTCCTTCACACGTTGTTCGGAGGGCAGTTCGGGTTCGGTGTTGGTGGGAGGTCTGTATCATCCATCTCAATCAGTATGATTCTTCGTGCGCAATCGGGGGAAAGGTCGCATACGTCGACTTGGCTGCATTTGCCTCGGGAATTGGCACGGACTCAGCCGGGGAGGTTGTCTTTGTTTCTTGAGCTGGCGATGGCGATGGCGCGCTGGGCTGGACGGGAGTAGTGGATTGCCAGCGGGCGGACAGGGGCACCTATGCCACGAATTGGTCAGTATAAGGATATGAGAAGCAGTGGAAGAAGTTCAGCTTACCCTCAGGCGCCTGCCGGCTCCGAGCAAGGAGCGTGTTGGGTTCGAAAACATCTTCAATGGCTGGGATCTGTCTGTTTGGTGCGGGTTTTTTTCTTCGGAGGTGCAGTTGCTGATGGGAAGGCGGTCAGGCCGGTTGGAGGCACCACGGGACAACCAGCACTGGTACAATTGTAGTATGACCAAGGATCGACTGTCTTTGGGTATAAAATCTGGGGAATTCATTCATTGCTACGATTATTACTATCATTACTTCGCATTCGAGTAAATTACGTAGACATAAATACCTTAGGGTGGTGGTTGTAGCAGCTGGTTCGTTCAATGGACCATGGACCTACTGTATGTGGCCATGTCATGCATGGACCAGGCCTACAGCTATTCTCGTACTTCAGACAATTTATGGTATAATTCAAAAGACATAATTAATTCACGGGATATTCCAATACTCCGTATCATTGGCATTATCACACTCCTCGGCCCGACTCAAAGCGAAATGATAAACCCATCTCCAGGCCAGCCAATGGGGTCGCACGCGACTCCGCAACATCAGAAGATTTCTTGGAGATCCACGATCCACCCCGCTGCTCTTCTCTACTTTCGACTGTCGTGCTTCTCCCTCTCAAACTCCGTACATACCTCTACATCACAATCAAACATGTCTTCTCTCGATCGAGCAAACGAAGCTGTTTCCTTCCTGACCAAGAGCTTGCCCGAAGGCCTGCGAAAGCCTCAGGTAGCCATAGTATGCGGCTCTGGACTGGGTGGTCTGGCAGAGACTGTTCAGTCTGAACCTCGTGCGGAATTCGACTACACTTCCATTCCTCATTTCCCCGTCCAACAGGTATTTTAATTTTCCAACACCTGCTGAGTACCTTTGGGCGGAAACTAATAGTCAAACAAAGTCGCTGGTCATGCGGGGAAATTGGTGTTTGGACTTCTTGGCCAGAAGATTCCTGCCGTCTTGATGGTTGGCCGTGCACAGTGAGATTGAGATTGAGCTTGCGCTTGCTTCTGTTGAATGGAATCCCATGCTAATGCGCCGTGATAAAAGCTACTACGAAGGGCACTCAATGGAACAGGTTACATTTCCTATCCGAGTGTTCAAGCAATTGGGCGTGGACACCGTTGTGTGTAAGTACTTCTTCCGTTTCGAGAACGGGATATCTACATCTACACTCTACTCCGTACGGAAATTGATGTGACTGGCAGTGACGAACGCGGCCGGTGGCCTTAATTCTGATTATAGCGTGGGTGATATCACCCTGCTGAATGATGTAAGAATCTATCTCTTTTCACCGGAAATATCGATACACCACTAAAAGAAAACCTCCAGCATCTATTCCTCGCGGGACTCGCAGGAAATCACCCACTGAGAGGACCCAATGACGAGGAATTTGGCGTTCGTTTCCCGCCGCTCTCCGATGCGTATGATCTTGAACTTCGTCGTCACGTTCACCGAGCTTGGAAAGAGATCACTACGCCCCAGACCAGTCGCAAACTACACGAAGGAGTCTATGCTTTTGTCGGAGGTCCCACGTAAGTGACGAAACGGCGAGAAGCGGGCTTGAGATACACCGACTTGCTGACGACGCGATAGTTACGAAACACGAGCCGAAAGCCGCATGCTTCGAATGATGGGCGCCGACGTGGTTGGAATGTCGACCGTTCCTGAAATTGTTGTCGCCAGACATTGTGGTCTGAGGGTGCTGGCAATGAGCTTGGTGACTAACAATGCCGTTCTAGCCCCCGTTCCCGTGGAGACGAGCAGCTACTTCAAGATAAAGCTGCAGGTGAACTGAGCGCGCTCTTGGAGGAAGGTAAGGCTGGCCACGAAGAGGTATTGGAGGCAGGTCGGGCAGCGGCTGTGGATATGCAGGTATGACATCCTCTCCTCTGCCACAGATTTCAATGGGGCAGAAGCTGACCAAGATCACAGAAATTGGTGGTACAAACTCTGGTGAACGTGTTTGGTAGTGCGTGAAAAACATGGGAATGAATCCACGTCAGACCAAAGGAACCACCAAGCCGTTTAGTTGACAGCATGGGAAGTGCTTCGGTAGAAATAGAAAGCTTGGTAACATAGGATGCCCAAATTTCAACTTTCTCAAAGACCTCACGATCACTTCTTAGTACGCTTTCTCTGCGCCTTAAGGTTGTTATAGTAAGCCTTCTTGCCGCTGGTCTTTGTATCCTGAATATCACGATACTTGGACTCGAACTTTCTGTTCTGGCGCTCAGTGGCCATGGTCTCCTCAACAAAGGTCTTCTTGCGATCCTTCTTGGCAATACGACCACTGAAGAACTCCGTCGGACCCTGGATGATGGTACCGACTTGCGAGAACTCGGGGGCCTTGGCCTTTCCGTTCTCCTTCTTGTAGTGACGCTTTGAATCAAGGACTGATCGCATTCGAAGAAGTTGCAGATCTCTCTTGAACTCAGTGGTCATGACAGTCTTGGGGAGGTCGAACCATTCGGGGCCGGCAGTGGGTTTTTCCTGGAGTGTCGATCGTTAGCTTCGATCACGACTTTTTCACTCCGTGTTTCAAACGATTTGAATCAAAGATAATTGCTCAGAGTAACTATGAAAAATAAAACTCTCACTGGTGCAGCACAGCCCAAAACGGACTGCTGACGCCGCATCAAGCGCTTTGCGTTGGGAAAAATTTTCCTCATAGCAATATGGAAGGGGATGTGGATGGAATCGGGTGGAAAGAATCGTCTTACTTGGACAGCAGGCTTCTGGCCAGAAGTAGTATGTAATTTGTTGGACAGTTCCTTGTACCGTTTGTCAACGAGCTCCGCCGTTTTGGCAGTCGAAACGTCGTCGTTCTGTTTAACGTAAGGCTCGAGCGAGGACCCAGAAGATAATTTGGGAATCCTAATGGTCCTGTTAGCATTGACTGGTCGGAGGAGGATGTTGGTTGGCCGTTGAGTGTTTGGATCATACCTTAAGGAACCAATGTCTAGCTCTGTGGATTGGGTGTCGGGGCCACGCAGTCGGCCCTCTGCCTCGAGCAGAAGCTGTTGAATCTGCTCATCGGTTAGGTCAACCTCATCTTGAGGTTGAACACTGGGCTCCGCAACATTTGAAGCGGCCATCCCTGCTTAAAGTAGGGTGTTGGGGAATGCAAGCAAGCTGTGCAAAGGTGGATTTTATAGATGGAATTTTTTTTTCTGTTGTTGCTGCTCGGATCGGACAAACTTTTGTGAGAAGAGCCCGAAAGGGAAGCGCGGGATCATGTGACAAGGAGGTAGAGGAACTTGGCATAGAAGTACTCAGTACTTGGTAATTACAGTAAAATACATATCAATAGTATGTACTCAGTACCTAATTTACAAGTACCTGACTCCTCGGGAGTCGCATAAGAGTAGACTAATCAAAAAGATGTCCCAGAAATATAGAAACCAATGATTGAAAATCCAAGAGAAGATTAACTCCAAATAGCTCCATTTACCAAGAGTCGGCCTGATAGTCGCAATCGCAATCGCGGTCGGCCAGCGGGGGAACATCCGAAAACGTCAGACAGCTGAAGCACCTCCATACTTGGCACGACCCGACGCGCTTCTTTCATCACCAGGCGCGCAACTTGAATTGACCGATTCGCCTTTACTCTCCACGACCTGGTCTCTCCAGCGTGTTACTCGTACTACACTACCGCCCTCACCCTCGCCTCCTCGAACATACTCGCGACTCCTCGGTCTCGGTCCTGCCCGACTTCATTTCAACCTAACACCTCTTGCGCGCGCCTTCAAGATGGAGCCCGCACCTCAGGGCACCGCCCCGCAGAGTGGCCTTCCCTCTGGTCGCCAGCAACACTCTCAGCAACAGCCTGTCTATGATATTAGGAATGGTGGTCACTATGGTATTTGCGCCCTGTCAATCGCATTGCCGTCGCATCAGCTTCCCGGGAGCGCGAACCCCTCTTCCCGGGGCTATGCGATGCCCGATACCGCGGCAATTTTATAACATATGCATGAACCCTATGGACTGACGTTTATTACAGGTGCTAGCGCAGCGGTATGCTTACATCCGATCCGAGTCCTGCCCTGAAATTGCGGGGATAGCGTGGGAGATGGGATATCGCGAGGGGTTTCGGTTCGCAGCTAACCAGAATTCAACACTCTAGCTTTCGGCACAGGGCTATGCTCCTGTCGCTGAGCTGTACACGGGTACTTGGGCCAATGTAAGTTTGTGGCGCGTCCAACACATTCTGTATATCGTGATTGACACCCAGACAGGTAAACCAAGGTCTCCAAGGAACAGCCCGCGACATCCTGACAACATACTGGCAACACGTTATCAACCACCTGGAATCCGATAATCACGACTACAAGATCCACCAGCTCCCACTTGCCCGCATCAAGAAGGTCATGAAAGCAGACCCAGAAGTAAAGATGATCTCCGCCGAAGCCCCCATCCTCTTCGCCAAGGGCTGCGACATCTTCATCACAGAGCTAACAATGCGCGCCTGGATCCACGCCGAGGACAACAAGCGCCGCACCCTTCAACGCTCCGACATCGCCGCCGCTCTTTCCAAATCGGACATGTTCGATTTCCTCATCGACATTGTTCCCCGCGAGGAAGCTACTTCGCACGCCAAGCGCTCCAGCCAAGCTGGTGCTCCCGGTGCTCCCGGAGGACCAGCCGGCGCCGCGGGCCAACTTCAGCAATCCCAGCATGGTGTTCAGGCTCACCTTGGCCCGGCGGATTATAGTTCTCTGGGTCAACATGGTATGCCCCAAGAGCAAGAATACCGTCCCCAGCAGGCGATGTACCCCGGTGCTGTGCAGGCAGACCCCACGGCTGCGTATGGACAGCCTCAGTCTCAGATGTTTGATGGAATGTATGCGTACCCGCATCTGCCTCCTCAACAGGTATGTTTTTGATAATCCCAGCTGGCTTTTCCGCTGGTCTCCATCAATGATTGATTGTGGTCTTCGTTGCTAAAATGTTCGCATAGTAAATTCTCGCATACCCCTTTTCAAAGGACTGCCGTTTAACAATGCTGTCTTTCTTTTCTCCCCTTTTGCTTTGATTGTGCGGTTCTCGGCGAATACTGGTTTCCCCTTTTATACTTCGTTCTGTCCCTCGGTTCACAGCTTCATGCAAGGGTACGGCCACGCCCGCTATATTGGGTGGCCGGTCGATCGCGAGAGAAATCATTTCATCTCGTCTCTTCAGAGCCCTAACCCCGACTTGGGCCGACTTGGACTGACTTTATTCGTTTGTGTTTGTGTTTTTGTTTCTGGTTCACATATACCTTTTTGTACGTAGGTCACAAATCAAAATGTGCCATATTTCCTCGGCCGAAGAGCTTGCTTGCTCTCTCTTCTCTTGTCAGGTGCCCGGGCCACCCTTCTTCCTCTTTTTCTCCAAGGGGCTTTTCCCCCTCCTTCCTTTTAGGCTGAATTTCTGACTGTTCGGTGATGACACCAAGCCAATTACGATCAGCATCCGGGGGTCCTTCTTCGGAGGGGCCTTTCCTGGAAGCTTGTGAGTACACCCCAACTATTGAGAGCTTCAATAATGTCTGAGGGCAGTCGGGAATTCTATAAACTTCCTTCCATTTCTCTTTTTTTTTCTGTTTCCCTTCTTTCTGCATTTACTCCAGGTCGAAAATACAACTGTTGATTTGTGATCGTTTCCGTCTCGTAGTACTTGTGCTTCCTTCATAGATGGTCTCTTTAGATGTACATCATGACACTTCAAGGCTACATTGAATACATTCGTTGGGCGAGTATATGGAAAGGAATTCTATATTTCGACACAATCTCCAGTGGAGTTTACATTCCGACTTATCCAATTTCTGCCATTTATGAAGTAGAACATTAAATTAACTTAATTCTCCGAGTATGATATCAAGTCTTCTTGAACCGCGAAGAAAGGTTCACAAATTTATCCACCTTCGTGGGCGCTTGGACGGTTCGAGTAAGCCTAAAAAAGAAAAAGAAAAGTTAGTAAAAGCCACTCCATTCAAGAGTAATAACCCAACCCAACCCAGCCCAAGGCAAGGCAAGGCAAGGCAAGCAACGTACTTTTCTAAAAGAACCGGCCCTTGCATAGCATCGACACGACCGTATTTCTTATTCCGGGTAGAGATGTCATAGAATTCATCCGCATTATCCGCTTGCATAAGTTGGACTGTTTGCTGCAATTCGTCGAGGTTTTCACGCAGGATCGGATTATTCAGACTATCAACGAATTGAGAAAGATACTCCACGTCCTTTGCCAACGCGATGACGCCGTTTGGATTGATGGTTTTCACTTCTGGGGCCATTGGTTGAGCCTGGGTGAGATGGTAAGTTAATTAGAATTTGTGCGAAAAGGGCAAAGGCAAATTAGAGCCGAGAGCACTCACCAGAATCATGTTCGCTGCGTGACTGAGTGCGTCGAAATAAATGAGTTCTTTGATTTCAGTCGGCAGTCCGAGAAGAGTGGAGTTCATGATGTTAGACAGGAATCTTGTCAACGTTTGCATGTAATTGCTAGGTTCACTGGGCGGGGTGGTGGCCATCCATTCGTATTCGGCCGTTTCGACAAGATCGTCAATCTTAGAATTGACGACCTCGAAGATCCGTTTCTCGGCTGCCTTTTTGTTGCTTCGGAACTTCTCTGTTGCTCGGAGGGTAATTGAGGTGCCGGTGGAATTCTGGGACCGCGCTGCTGCAAGCAGTAATTCGAGCTCATGGCATGCTAGCTCGAAGTGTTCCAGGTTGATTAAGATCTGGACAATTTGGCCCAGATATTGAGAGGAGAGGCGTTCGACTAGTGTATCACACACTTTCCGCGAGAGAAGGTCATCGAGGGCCTTGATAGCGTTAGTAAAATAACAGAACAAGAGTGATTTCGTTCAAGCTTGCTCCCACAGGGCCGTACTCACATCTTTCAAGGTATCGTCGATAACACTGGGGTGGGAGAAATCGTCATTGGCGAAGAAATAGAACTGATTCAAGAAGTTCCGAATATCGATACAACACAGGGGATACATCCTGGAGAAGGGCAAGATACATGGGAACCTGTGGAAAATTATTAGGAGGCTGGTCTGGAAACTGAAAATCGTGGACAATTTCAATATAGACATACTCTTGCTCTTCGCGGGATGCCTCTGGAGCATACCAGCTCACATTAAGAACTTTGTCGTATTCCTCCAGAGTCTGTATTGGCATCGGCATGTAATCGTCTGTAGACACGATCTATGAAGAAGTTAGCTTAGTTATTCGACTAAGAGAAAAGATGAAATGTCAAAAGAAATGGGAGACATTGAAGCACGGTACGTACCTCTTGGAAATCATCGCTAAATCGTCTCTTCAAAAGTTCTGCATACTTCTCGAATAGTCTGAGCAGGAAATCGTCAAACACCCTGACCGAAAAGTTCCATGTCTGTTTTAGGTTAGCATTGATGGTCTCGGGGTGGGCATATGGTGATTGAACTGACATTCATCGTTTGCATGAACAAGGCTATCAAGTTCTTAGTTTTCAAGATGCTCTCTGCATTGTCGACTCCATGGAGAGCTTTTGATATAATCCCAACAGCACCCTGACACATTGAGTCCCAGAGTTCCTCTACCTGTTGGATGAGACAAATCAGTTAGTTAAACCGTTTGACAGGAAAAGTCGGCTTTTAGACCAACACGGGGGAGGGCAGGGATCGGAGCGTACATCCACAGAAGATCGTAAATCGGGAACTTTCATCATAGTAGCTCGCTCTACAATTGCAAACCCGGCTATTTCTTCCAGCAGATTGTGTAAACTTGCGCCGCCCTCGTCAACAAGAGTGACGGAAGCAGGAAGGAGAAGGTCCTTTTGGCGACGACGCGTGCTAGCATACTCGACTCGGAACTTATCCATCTGCCCCAGAGACTGGTGAATGTGCAGGCACTCAAAAAGCGGCGCAAATGGGACTTGCAAGTCATCATTCTGCAGAAGGTCATACTCCTCATCTTCATCGGCGACCAATTCGATCGCGGAGTTGAGATTAAAATGTTCTAGGTACGGAATTTGCTCCGCACGCTCCTTTAACCTCGATTTGCGTTGATCTGTGTGGAAAAGAGCCAGTTCTCCCAGAAAAGGAGACATTTCTCGAATGTGAAAGAGCCAGGTATTGAGGTCGGACATGACTGCCTCCGCGATCGCGCGCTGGGTGGCCGGCACTGAGCGTTGGATCATTTCCGCAATCTTGTACTGCGTGACTCCCTTGAGATGAACATTTTGCAATTCTTCCAGGGCGCGAAGGGCCGCATAATGGTTCTTCTTGGCTAGCAAATCGTGGACTTGGTTCGCAAGGCGTAAGACTTCGAGACAATCCTGGATCGCCCGCGATGTCTCGTCGATGTTCTGGCGATGGCCGCGGGATTCGACTAGGGCTTTCTTTTGCTCGGCTAGGCGCTCGGTACTTGTTTGAATGGATTGATTGAGGTCGAGGATCTCGGCAGTTAGACTGACGGTGCCTTCTCGGATTCGAAGGAGGGAATTGACGGAGGAGACGAATTCTTGGTGGTTTGTGTTGCAGATACTTTCGATCTCGGCTTCTTTGTCTGCTGCAAAGCGCGACAGAGATTGTAACAGCTGTGGAGTCCTATTGCCAACGCTGTAGTCTCGGATTGAGGGGATGAGCTGATCGAGGTAGTCGGTGTCGGAGGGGAGATAATGATCTATGTTGTTAGTGCCAACGCCCCCTGAAGCACGAAGCCCATAGCATCTGCTATACATACCTGGTTGAGCACATGAGGCTCTGGCATTGGAGGTACCATGATGGGCATCACGAGCACCTGGACCTGGACCTGGAGAACCTGGAGGACGGGGAGCTGCCGCTCCCGCGTTGCGGCAGGTCGCCAGATAGACGATAGACGATAAACGATAGCCATCCGCGCTAGCCCTATTCTGTACTAGCGCTAATTACATACAACCACAACATACTACATTGATATCGCATGTTCATGTTTGTACTTCTTTCCTTTCTACTTTATTTTTCACCATTCAGCTTTCACCTTTTCATTCTCCTTCCATTTCCATTGCCGGCTCAAATTATTTGAGCTTCAGCTATCACTTCTCATCCCTCCCCTTCAGATACTTGATTGCCTTTACCTGTTCATCAAGACTGTGACTATATTTGAGAAATATGTTATTGGATCACTACATTCACACTTCTGTTAACCCAAGTCACAGATCTCAAATAATGCCTGATATCATTGCCACACACCATGGCCGGCCCCGTGGATCTCCACTTCCCAGTCATGTATGATGCCTACATGTTGGCTCTAAAGTTAGCTTCCAGACTAACTCACATATTAGCCTACAGATACTCTGCTTCTCGCTGCCAATGCTTCTATCGCAAGCTGACCTTTTGAAATGAATTTCAAATCTCGATATCTGTACTCTTATATGGCATGCCTCAGTTGTGGAAGAGAATAAGTCTGCAGGGCCTTACAATGTCACCTTCCACTCCATATCCGCTCGTTATCGTTACTGCTGCTGCTAAGGTGCTTTCGCTTTAAACCCAATCTGTCACAACAGGTGCCTTGCCTTAATGGAACAATGCATCTATACCGAGAGAGGTCAGATCCGCCAATCGCCTACTCCCACCGAATGTCAGTGGATCCCACCGTTGCAGCCCTACAGCCCTCCAGTCCTCGGAACCTGCTCAACCATTGGACCAATGACCACCCAATCTGATTAGTCGACGTTCCCAGGGAGCAGTCACTGCAAATATCCAAGAGGAATCCCTCCTTCCGTTTGATCTCTCACCCTTCCCTCTACTCATTTCTGGTCGTTCACCTTCGTTTGGCCTCATCAGCTGGTCCCATTGCTCAGCTCGGTTTCCATTTTGCCCTTCTCATCTTCGCAAAGGTGACCATCCGTCATCTCTCGACTCCTACGATGGTCTCACAACCGCCACAGGAGACCTCTTCTGGAGAATCTGCTTCTCGAAAAACTCCTGACAGTGAACTGGCCTCGTTTACTTTCCACTCGCAGCAACAAAATGTCAGTCCCTTGGTTGGACGAACCCGAGCAATAGACCCTCGATTTCCTATGTGAGTATACTTGACCTTCCTGGCACTTGATGTGCTCGCTGACATAGGCAGGGATCCATTCATGGCACGCGCCTACAACCTATTCGAAGGGGCGGATCTCGCGGATAGTCCAATCTCCGTGGGAAGTCCGCCTGCTCAGTCTTTGCCTGTCTATCTTGATCCCACGCCCGCACCTGCACCCACGAGCTTGAATTACCCTGTCGCAACTCCACCTTCGGGCTCTTACGGACGCAGCCCGTTCAGCCTGCCTTTACGGGGTCCAGCCCACACCACCTACGATCCATTGGCAGTCCCGGGGCCTACCTCGCACCCCCGCGAGTCTTTTGGTGTCCAGAATAACTTCACCAGCCCTCAGATCTCGCCGTTGCAACCCAAAGACCTACAAGCTTCATTTTGCGATGAGCGCCGGTTCCTTGTGCGCAATGTGGACACGGACACGGAGGGCCTTGAGGTGGTCCAGCTGTTTCAAGTAAGTCATCTCTACTCGAGGGATCACTTTCAAATTCTAACCCGATATTAGAACCTTGCGTCTGTCAATGGTCCCTTTTGGACTACTTTGAACACGACTGGTCGCTTCTTCGTTTCCTTCTCTGACAGTAGAGATGTCGATGCTGCTATCCAGCGCGTCAGTCGCGACTACAAGGAATGGGAACTGATTCCTCTCTCCGCAGAAGATTTTGCTCGTGATACCCGAATGGTCACCCCATTGCCCCTGAGCTTTGATGACGCAGTTATCGTCACTGTCTACTGTGGAACCTATTCCACGATCCAGCCTGCAAATGTCATCGTACGAACCAAGCAGTTTTTGGAGTTGGCTGGCAAAGTGCGCTCGATTCAGGAGCTCCAGTTTGGTATTCCGTCCGATGGATCTCGATTGACAACTCATGAGCTAGCCGTCAAGTACTTCGATACTCGCCATGCGGCCAATGCAGTCAAGGCTTTGAATGCTACCCGAACTGCGGTACGCGCTATTCCTGTCCCTTGTAATGCCCTCTTTTTTTGGATATGAGTTTTGGAATCCTTTTGGCTTGTTTCTTTTTGATATCCTTTTGTTTTTATTCTCTCGTCTTTGGACCGGGTAATCTAACCTAGCCTTTGGTAGGATTTTGTTATGGAAGTCATGCCACTCCATCGCGATATGCCAACCGCCATGCATCGTCACTGGACTTCTGTTCCCAAAACTCGTCGGTCCTCGATGATTTTCCCTGGAACACCAGCACGACGCATGTACATGTCGCCAAGTGACCCGGAAAGTCCCCCAATTCCGGATGAACTCAAGCCCGCTAGGAACGTCATTGACCTGAGTAAGATTTATTACGGTCAAGATGGACGCACGACTGTCAGTTTTCATATCCAGGGCCTGAAGATCGAATTGTGATATTGACTTTATCTCTTTTTCCCTCGCAGGTTATGCTTCGAAACATACCCAACCAAATGACTTGGGTAACGTTCTCCTCCTCCTCCAACCTGGGCTCCAGAAAATTGACAAAAGCAAAACAGCAACATCTGAAACAAGTCCTTGATCTAACCAGTGCTAACTGCTATGATTTCATGTACCTGCGTATGGGTATGTACGGATTCTACCTTTTCGGAAAGACCGACGATTTCTAATAACCAGGTGTCCCAGATTTTGATCAGAACCAGAGGTACACTTCCTAATACAAGCCCGCTCTTCTGGTGGCTTGGCTAATTTGCTCTCTTCTATTCAGTGTTGGTTACGCCTTTGTTAACTTCAGCGTTGTAAGTTGATGCTTCAACTTCTCTTCATGATCTTCTACTAACTTCTCACTTAGCCCCTGGACATCATGGCGGTAAACTAGATTCTTACCCTTATAATTGACATGGGAAGACCCTCGCTGACATTTTCGCAGTTCATGGAGGCTCGTGAGAACATGTGTTGGTAAGATGAATATGTTCTCACCTTGGACCGAAGCCAAGCATGCTAACTTATATCCCTCAGGCCTGGATTCGAAACCCATGTTGAAAAAGTCGCTGAAATGTCCTATGCAAGTCCGTGATATCCTCCCTCATTCCACCTCACCAATACTAAGCATCTTCAACAGCGGTCCAAGGCAGGGAAGCTCTTGTCGAGAAGTTCCGGAACAGCCCGGTCATGCTCAACCATCCGGACAATCGTCCCAAAGTGAGTCTTCTGCCAGCTGATTTTAAATGCCCAACCATAACCCGAGACAGCTCTTCCATACTGCTGGACCTCGTACCGGTCGACTGGCCTCATTCCCGCCGGTGAACAACTTTTTCATCCTGGCTAAGGGCGTTGATCGAAGCAGACGAAGTGGTAAGCCCCATGCCATACCAACCCTCGCCCTTTGACCGGCGATTCAAGTTCAAGTTAGCTAATTAGTGCTTGCAGGATTGTACAGAGGCCCCCCCTCCAGGCCCTGGCGGCCCCCGTGGCCCCCACTCCATGGGTTCCTCTGGTCACCCTCGCATGGTGTCGGTTGATAGCAACGAGTCCGGCGGCGTCAGACTTGAGCGCGAAACATCGGTGCCAGTGCCAATGTCAACCCCGATCCGCGGATCACACAACAATGGCGACCGTTCTAACCATGGCGATCTTTCTAATCATGGCGAACGTTCCAACCACTCTGTTTCTGGTTCACACGGCCATCCTCGTCCCAATGGAGCTCGTGGCAATCATCGCTCGGGACCTCCAGGCCCCGATCGTGGAACTGGAGCCTCGCAGTCCTGGAACAACGGTTCGCGACCCCCTCGTACCGAATAGACCGAAATTGAACTAGAACCAACCATGGGGTAACTCTCGTGGATACGATCTGACGATGAACGATTATGGCAATTTTATGACTTTTACGATGCCGATGGATGAAATGATTTACGATGCCAGAAGACCTTTTCCCCAATAATGATTACCATTTATCTCGTTTGGCAAAGGCAAAAAAATCCCCCGCGGAAACGATTAGGAAGGAATGTTTTGTGTCTCAGGCCACCTGGCTGATATGATGTCGCCTGACTAGCAGACTACAAAACATTGTACCTCAAAAATACTTTCATTATTTTGATATTCAGAATCTCAACTCTCAGCAACAATGCAGATTCTATCCCAACTGTTAACTCAATATATCCTAGTGTACTCGGTAGACCATGTACTTGTAAACCGCGGCCGTATGAGCATACTCGGTGACGAACCCCGATGATTTTCGGCTACCCCGATTACTTTCGGCGCCACCACTAGTAGCTTGTTTCACATTCCTGTGGGTCTGGCGGAGTAATTGACATTTCCAAAAATTATGTCCGTCCTATTTTCTTCATAAAGCTAATAATTTCGAGACGTTAACGTTGAAATCCCCGTTATCTCCGAGGCCGCTGAACCAGCCGCTTTCGATCAGCAACCCACAGAAACCTTATTCGTATATGCATAACTGACTTGGTCGGAAGACCCGGGAACCCCATAGATGTTATCCACTAGACCTCGGGCTTAAACGGTTTTAATCTGGCTGACTGGTGGAGACCTGTCAGCGGTGAAGTTCATTGCAGCATCATGATGTAAATTAGCGGTGATGTCCTGGACATGAGAAGAGAGGTATATAAGCCGAGAAAACTCCTTTATTCATCGCGAATTATTCTCTAAAACCCGCGACTCCAGCAAAACCTGAATCTTGAACTTCAACTTCAACTTCAACTTCAAACCCCTTCTTCATCATGTCGACGATCTTCGCTCCCGCCCCGGAGCCCGCCACCGAGCTTGGTCGCTACCGCATCCTTTCCTCGACGGCAGGTATTCGCGTATCCCCACTCCAGCTAGGAGCAATGTCCATCGGGGACGCATGGTCCAGTTTCATGGGATCAATGGACAAAGAATCCTCCTTCAAATTACTAGACGCATTCGTCGCAGCTGGGGGTAATTTCATCGACACAGCGAATAACTACCAAGACGAACAATCCGAGAAATGGCTCGGAGAATGGATGACAGCCCGCAAGAATCGCGATCAGATGGTCATTGCAACAAAGTTCACCACCGACTATAAATCTTACGCCCTGGGTAAAGGAAATGTGCCTAATCATTGCGGCAATCACCGTCGCAGTTTGAATATCTCGGTCCGTGACTCACTGCATAAGTTGCAGACGGACTATATTGATATTCTTTATCTGCATTGGTGGGATCATACTACCTCTATCAAGGAGGTTATGGATAGTTTGCATATGCTGGTTGAGTCGGGGAAGGTTATGTATCTGGGTATCTCTGACTCGCCTGCGTGGGTAGTTGCCGCAGCCAATACCTACGCTATTGAGCAAGGAAAGACGCCATTTAGCATTTACCAAGGTCGATGGAATGTCATGCTGCGCGATTTCGAACGGGATATTATCCCAATGGCCCGTCACTTTGGCATGGCTCTTGCCCCGTGGGACGCTATTGGAAGCGGCAAATTCCAGACGAAGAAATCTCTAGCAGAGCGGGCAAAGAAGGGAGAAGGACTGCGCAGTATGCTGGGCGATGGATCGCAAACGGAGGATGAAGTCCGGATGAGTGAGGCTTTGGCCAAAGTCGCGGAAGAACATGGTATTGAGTCCGTCACTGCTATTGCACTCGCTTATGTGTTGGCTAAAGCGCCGAATGTTTTTCCCTTGGTGGGTGGTCGCAAGGTCGAATATCTTCATGATAATATTCAGGCGTTGAAGATAAAATTGTCGCAAGAGCAGATTGAGTACTTGGAGAGTGTGAGGCCATTTGAGGTTGGGTTTCCGAATAATTTTATTGGGGTTGATCCTAGGGAGACGGGTCGTGCGGCTGGATTGTTGGCGGCGAATGCGCAGTTTGCTTTTGTGCCGGCTACGAAGCCTATTACCCCGGCATGAGGGGTGGTTTGATCTGATTTATACATGTATGTTCTTGTATAGCTGTCAACTCTACGTGACAGGTAAGAATGGAGAAGTTATCTTCCCTTTTCAAGCGTCTCATTACTTTTATTTCATTACAATTATGACGGTTTGTTACTCGCATGGTATTTCCGGAATTCGGTGTCACCCCGTTTACTCTTTCATTATTCCCTGAACCCTAGATAATAAACAAAGTATCTTAGAAGTACACAACACACAGTAGAGTACACCCGAGATGGTTTTAGTTTGCGAGTGTCTGTCTCGGCTTGGCTCGACCCTAACTTATATCATACTGCGTTCTCATCAGATACTCATACTACTATACTTTCTTGCCGCAATCATAATTGCCATCTCCTTGAGTATGACTCTCCGATTGGAGAAACAGAGCGAGTAATATTGATGCTCATACTAGGTTGGTTGTTGCAGCATGCTCATTGATCTAAGCGTTGCGATAGCTAGGGTTTATCAACAAGAAAAACCATCTGGGTATGAATAAATCCGATCGAACATTTATTTGATATATGAGTTTGCGCATGGGTGTTCATTACGAAATTCTTCGCCAGCGGTCCTCTACAAGTAGAGCTTTTCATGTACGGATAGACACTCTTGATCAAATTCATTTTGGAGCAGAAGGGGCATAAGTAAGCTTGAGTAATTATGGGGCCCGCAGATGTGGTCTAGTATTATTCAAAATTCTCATAGCAGAGGCTCTCACCTCCAGTTCTTCTCCATTCAATTTTGTGAGAGTATCTCGCAGTAATTGAACATATCTTCTCGGGGCCCCATCTTGATTAGCAGATGGGAGGGCTTGCTTCTCATCAACGGCTGCACCCCCGTCGAGAAGTAGCTTAAGGATATATAGTAGTGCCCCTTCTTGGCAGCTCTGTGCAGTTGTCCATCGGTTGGCAAGATCTCAAGATTAAGTATTGAATCAAAAAGCAATTCCTTCTCTGAGCTTGCAGCATATTCTAATGCTTCTTCACCAAAGGCTCTGCTGCTGTTTGTCATCAAGTGATTCTCAAGTATCGCCTTAACCATTGGTATATATCCAACATCAATTGCGGTCCTCACTATCTTCGTCCATCCTTCCGAATTCAGCATCGCGCCCCGGCTAACTAGCATCTTGAAAAAGGAATCATGACTTGATTCCACGGCTTTGAATAGTACTTTGGGGTTTTTCTCCGTCTTCAGGTGTCTCTCAACATCATGTCGGGTCAACATTAACCAGGTAATTTCCACGCTCTTTTCCTCGCTCCTAAAAGCTGTTGCGTATTCCAGTGCCCCAAGATGACTTAATCCCATGAGACGCGTCAAAACTTCTTTAGGATAAGTTACTGAATGAATTTGGTTTGCGTCCTCAAAGTTGAGCTTCCGCAGATGACTGGTTTGCACGCATATCCTTCTCACCGGACACTGATAATTCTTTAGTTTTTTCAGATCAATATTGTCGAGTCTTTCCATATTGACCCTTGCAAATTGCTGCATCGTCAAGGAATTCTCTCCAAAAAGAAGGTTTCCGGTCAAGAAAATATCTTGCACATATAGAGCAAGTAATTTTTCTTCTCCATTATCTTCTTCTTGACAATCAAGAACTGCAAGTCCAAGTCCAGGGCCTATACCTATAAAATGAACTTCCAGATAGATCCCTCGACTGCTCACAGTTGGAGGGTTACTGGCATTGTTGGACCCCCTACGTCGGATGATGTTGGTTGATTCAAGAAATGCCGCTGGCGAGGGTGCAAGAAGTCCAACTCCATACTTGTACCTCCATGCAAACAAACTGAGATCATCTGAGACCCGAAGAATTTCTTCCTGGAGTCTGACGAATGCGTTTTCTCTTTCTCCGTATAGCAACGGCATATTAATGCCAAAAATTCCCATTAAGCAATAGGCTTCATCCTCAATTCTTGAAGTTTGTCTCCCTGCTGCCCAGGACATTCTCTGTGCGACACTAATCGTTCCAAGGCTATCTTTTCCAGAAAGAATGCTTTGGGGTATGCCGGTACGATCAGATAATATATCTTCGAGGTCTGTCCTGTCTCCTAGCCTTTTCCATCTCTTATCGAAGAAAACCACTTCTCTCGGAGCGATTAGCTCTTGAAGAGTCCATCCTCTCTTGAACCATTTGCTCTCTGGTATCATGCTTTCTGTTTTTCTTCTTCCTCCTCTTCTTCCTCGTTGTTTTTTACTTTCCCCTTCTTTCTTTTTTCTTCTACTTCTCCTTCTTCTTGAAGACACATCATCAAGATATGCGTAGCAGACGTCGGCAAGTTCGTACCAAAAGTACATAGAATTGATTGCTTCAGACAGCTCTGCACTACTCGCCTTATCGATGCAGCAAGTATCTATCCAAACAAATTCAAGCCCTTCATCTTTTGCGATCTTGCAGCAGCCTTTGATCTTTTTATATCCTTTTCCCTCTGTATTGGCTGACTTGATATCTTGCAAGGTAACCTCTTCTGCTCCCCATCTATGCGATAGGATAGCGTAGTGTGGGATATCAGCATGGCTGAATTCTTCGATTTCAAGTATTCCTGAATCGGGAATGTCGGTCCTCAAAAGACGCATGACTGAGAACTTTGGAGAAAAAGAAATGTTTTTGTAATAAGTTCCAATCTAGAACATAGCTCCAAAGGCTGAATTTGCTCGCAGAGTTTGAGTTTCTGTCGAAATAATTTGATTTGAAGATAATGAGACAGAGTTACGAGTTAAAGATTGAAAGTTTCGGCCTGAGCTATTAAGGCTGAAACATCAGGGTCTGCAAGTTCGTGCGTGGTACTAAATTTACTCCCGGCTAAAAATAAAAGAAAGGTCGTATCGCAGTGGAAGACACGTTAGCCCCTCGGGGCGCTTACAGGTCATATACGCCAATGATATTAATGAATCTAAGGGGCCAAAAGTCTTGGAAAGCTTTCAGCTGTGAGCCACTGGCGCTTCATTGCCAATATCGTAAGTACTTCTTGGTCCCAAAAACAGATGTATGTATATATCTCTTAGCACCCCGCTAAATGCACACGGCGATTTTGTCTCCTGCACATTTAGCGCTGGGAATCGGTCGTTTCCAGTCTCTCGCGTAGCTCTTAGCGACCAGACAGAGGTCAAAACAGGAAGCAGCTCTAGATGCAACCAAAAGCACCAGGAGATGACCAGCCTTGTTTTTTTAACAAAAAATATGATACTGCCAACTTAATGGTCACCTGGCTGGGCGTCTGGTGAAACGGTGCTATAAAACTAGTGGCGCTTCGACGGTCGGCTTTGCATTTGATTTTGCTCAATCGAGCAGGCCAAGAAGAATACAGAGTACGTCATCGGATTTTTTTAATAAAAAGAAGAGAATGCGTCGCAAGACGGCAGGAGCTTATTTAAGTTCTTCATCCACCTTGTGGAAAGGATTGGAAAAAGTGAGTGGATTCAACTGCAGAATTTCGACACATCAGGCGCAACTATCGGCCATGGAGCAGTAACTATGGACGGGCTAATTAATCGTCGAGCTGGACGCTGCTTGCAAAAATGTTCACCAATCCTTTACACAGGTATATGTAAGCAGAACGAACTGAAGATTTACAACCAGAGTATAGGAACTCAAACAAACAACGCCGAAAATGACAAGCTCGTTTGAGATGCTTTATAGAGTGATAATTCTTTCAACTGCGTTGTACAGCGTGTCCCCAACAGATTTTAATTAAATTAATGGCCACCTCAACATCTTTACAGATAGATATCTCTTCCATTCGATTGAAGTTCCAGGGACTAATCTCGTGGTACTACTTCAACTGAGTATGCAGGTAACTTCTATTGGAATTTCGAGTTCAATATCCTATCAAAAAAAGGGACCTGGCCTAGTTCAGGCCAAAAGCTTGGACCGGTCTGAATGCTAAATTTCTTGGGAACACGATTATAGTCTCTTTTTCAAAGCAGAAGGCTTATTTTCTACATGAATTCCTCAAAATTCATTGCGGTAGCACATTGAAGTTTGTAGTAACTCACGAGTCCCAATACTCCTTTGCAAGGGACAATGTTGATCGTTATTGTTGTCAGGTCGTGGCTCTAGGTCATATTGCCGAAGTTTAGCTGAGAGCTGCTAGATAAGATAAGAAAGCATACCTTAACTTCTCGCACTGCAGTTGGTCCGCAGAGTGGGAGCCATCGCTTCCATGGGCCATCCTCATTGAAAAACGCCTGCTTTTTTTCTTATCCAGATAATACTGTCGTCCTCAAATCCTAGATTTCGATGATTAAATATTTGCCAAGTTTCTGGATTTCGAATCGACACTATGAGACACCATTTGGCCATTTTAGCCTCAATTGGGTACATCTATGTGGATCCACTGAGCACCATGCGATGTTTACGGCAGAATTCGCTCTCCCAGGAGCAACAGCCGAAGCTCCTAGGGCCGTTGACCGTCGTGGGTGCAAAATAGAGGGGTACTGGGAAGGCAGCCGTTTCTGGCGCCAAAAGCGGCCTTTTTCGTCGTTCTCACAGGACAATAGAAGGCGTATTGTTATGCTGGATTGCCAAGAAACTAAGACATTCCGGCACTAGCCAGACCAGGAGAGCGGATATTTTGTCCAAAAGCTTCACTTTCGAGAAATCTTTAATTTGATCTCAATGTGAAGCGGGCCCTTCCATTCCGGGTTCTGATTCTATGATTTTTTGGCAGGACCCAAGTCACATCACAGAAATTTCAACTCAACCTTTTTTGTGGTTTCATCAATAAAAAGAGCTTCCAATTTTGGAGACAAACTTTGACTAATTTAGACTGCCAAGATTGGCGTCACGCTAATTGATCCCGAGCTAAATAAGTATCGAGACATTCCCACCGGAAGTTCTCAGGGTCTCACCACCAGGGTAGAAAGATCCTTGATTGCCCCGCAGACTCGGGATGGGTCTGTACATACTACTCTATTATCTCTTATTATTCCTGCTGTTCGGATACTTCGTGGTCTATCACTATCCAGCTATGACTTCCGACGCCCCTGCTTCGACTTCATCCCCGCCACGCGATCCAGCTGAGATCAACAAACTAGTGACCGAACAGGATGACCAGTCTTTCTACCATCATCCTTCCTGGTCGGAGCGATGGTCACACCCCGAGTTTGTCGGCCACTTCCCGAGCATTTGGCTCAAAGCCCCATGGCTTGAACAGACCAAGCGAAGCCCAACAAGGTTCCTGTACCCGTCGGTACCCTCTAAGTTCCCTTGGGGCTACATCATATACTGAACAGTCTACACTGCCGAATCAGATGAGCTATGGCCCCTTGCCATGGATAGGCTGGCTAAAATCATGAATTACTCCATCGACTCTGATCTTCACGCCGAAATTCGATGGAAGGAGCCTGAGGATGAAGAGCCAGATGCAGATGCTGAGCGGTTGGTGAAGGAAACACATAAGGATGTTATTTTTTCAGACAAACAGTTCTGGGATGGAGCAAGTATCGAGCAGGTTCGACATCATTATGCTGAGTATCTTCGTGCAAGCAAGGACCGGGGAGCTGGTCGATTCGAAGGCTGCCTTTTCATTGATGAGCGGTCGCTGAAGTCAATCGTTGCTAGTCCTGACCCTCAGCCCTGGCTCAAGGGGAAAAGGCCTAAGCAGCCCATTCGGCCTTGGGGTTTTGTTGGTATGATCGATGGGCGGTATCCGGAGAATCGGTATGAGCCGGGATATACTGGCTATATGCGGGTGGAAATTCTTTCCCTGTGGTCTCTCTATGATGAGTTGAGATTCAAACACATGCAGGAGCTTTGCCCCTCTGTTCCTGATGGATTAATTCCGTTTTATGACAGTGGGACTGGGAAAGCGCAAGACGAGGAGGGAAACTTTTTTCCAACGGCGGCTGATCGAACGCCTCGACTGTTTTGATAAATTATAGCCAGTTGATACCAAGGATAGTTTGCATAAAGGTAAATTTCCATATCCCTTCATACCAGGAGATGAAGATAATAGAGGCAAATGATTTACTTTCGAAATTGAGATATTCACAGCTATATGGAACAGTAAACCTTGACTAAATAAAGCGCTAGCTTGTATGAAGGCAGAAACACAACTCCAGAAGCTTGGTTCAATTTACTTTCCTGGCTACAGAGCTAAATGCTTAGTTCAGGGCTGGTTATAGCTAAGGTGCGTGGAAGGGGCTTATTTAGTAGCAGGAGGGGCGGCTTAGCAGGTCCCGGGACCGCTCAAGAAATATAAACTGAGACACCAGGCCTAGGTGACCCGCAGACTATGGTTTCAAGTGTGCTGCGGACCTAAGTCTGCGGTGGAGGTACGTCCTTATATTCTAGTTGTAAATGTAGTCAGTAGATCGCGGTGGAGCGGTGTGGGGTTCCCGCGACGCCGACCAGAAATTTCCCCGGAACTTCACTTCTCGTAACCCTACAACTTGCAGAATGCAAACCCAACAACCAACCAACATGGACCCTCAAGAGATCCAGTCTGTCCGCTCAGTCTTACACCTAATCTATCACCGGAACAAAAACCAACATCAAAAAGCGAAGTGGTGGAGATGGCTTTCAATGCTGAAGCGTACCGTCTCGGTCCTGGCCTCACTGGACGCGAAGAAGCTTGCGACAAGCTCCCACCTGCAACATCTGCATTTGCATCTGATCCCGAACTGCTATCAGTATGTTTTTTTCTTAAGAAGCATTCTGGAATAATCAAGTTAATTTTCATCACAGGGCATTCTCTACTGTCATTGCCGATAAACAATTCTCTACCCTTGGTATCGTACTCATGGCTGCTCTGGCGCGTCTGGCTAAGGCGACGGGTATGAGGTACCCCAGCGCAAATTCTACACGGGTAGAATCAAAGCAGAAGCAGAACATTAAGTCTAAGCCTGCTGTTGTGAAAGCTGTGGTGGACCGTGGAGAACGGATCCGTCGCGACGACGATGACAACGGCGATGACTTGCCCATATTACGCAAAAAGCCGCAGACTCAGTCCAACGACGAAGAAAATGGGAAACCTGCCAAAGTTGACAAAGAGAAGAAGAAGGTCAAGAAGAGTTCCAGCAAGAAGAAAAAGAATGCCATCGATGATCTATTCAGCGGGTTATTCTGAAGATCACGATTCCAATTCCGATCTCTTTGGAATTAATTACGCTCCGCTTAAAGTTTCTGATTGGATGGAATTTTTCGATGATCCCCTAGGAAAGGCTTCTTTCTTCCCAGGGGTTGATCTGATTCTATAATCTAATCTTCCTATCCTATCTATCTGCGCGGCCAGAGACACGCGAGACCGATTCCGCCCAGAATATTGACAGCAACATGATTCGCCATCGCCCACGCCATGCTATAGAGATATTTGGGCGAGAACACGGTCCAGATGAACAGGTGTGTTCTGAGTGCTGTACAAGCCGCCATGACAGACAACAATGAAGCGGCGACTTGAAAAGTAAATAGCGCCGCAGAGTCATGACGATGATTTTCAGAGGTATGTGGCGGGCGAAGCAGATGACCCATTGAAATCCACCAAATAGGTCCAGCCCAGTTACTAACGAAGGTCAGGATACCGACGCAAACCACGCTATAGCTGCCGACACCATTATAGGCGCTTGAAAGATCGACTGAGGAGATTGAGTTTGATCCGCCAAAGGCGAAAAATGTCATGTACTGCAGTATCAGGGTTGTGGCTGTTACTTCGATTCCGGTGAGGTTTAGCGATGATAGCATTGTTCCTTGGGTTCGGAATAGGAGGAATACTGGGACGTTGGTGATTCTGGATTGCGTCATTAGGAAGAGGTGGAGAGCTTCGTGGAAAAGGGCGTTGGATGCTGGATATGATTGTCAGTTCGGGGTATTACGGACATTTGCGGACAGTGGAATCTTTATCTTACCCCGTGTTGAATGTGATCTCTTTGCAGAAACGATCGCTAAGAGTCCACAACAAGCAAGTCCACCGAAAACCAATCTTGCCTGCAAAACTAAAGACAGGCTACCGAGCCAGCCTCCAGCAAGTTTCGACAAGGGGGTATCTGCGAGAAGCTCGGGTGAATCATTCGCCGCGAAGTTGAGTTTGAACAGGAAACCCAGTGCGGGTATGATCAAAGCAATCAGTTTTGCCGGTGCAACTGATGGCATCTTCGCCAGCAAATGATAGCCAGAGTCCACATATGTCAATATCACCAAGGCCCATAGAGCGTTTGGATGGGCGGGAAAGAAATCTCGAGCGATATCCGGTTCGGCCGTGAACTTTTGTCCTGTTTGATTCCATCTTCGAAGTACTCGGTGTGAAGCAATCAATCCTAGTGTCGCCAGTTTTATCCACCTAAATGGGGAGGAGGCCTTTCTGCGCGAGACATTCGAGTTCCTCGAAGATCCCGATTCAGATCGCATATGCAGGTAAAACATCCAGCCCGAGCATATCCAATACCAGAACTGTTGCTCTTCTTCAACATAGCTACTCGCAAACATCATACTTCCGTAGCCAACGACCATAAACACCAAGAAAATCCCCGTAGAAACGGTCCGAGAGAATTCATGGTAAATTTGAGGCAAAAGCAATGAGGTTGCAACAGCTAGAATTAGCAGTCCGGCAACAAGTCGGGACATGTCATAGTTGCTAGCGGTACTACTCATCACCTCCTGCGTGGCCCGTGAGAAGCGTAGTAGGGCTTGCTCAATGGCTGGATACGCTTCTTCGGACTCGGACAAATGTTGTTCGGAAAGAAGCTTTTGGGCTTGTGACCATGTACATTGAACCTCATCAATCCCGGAGAGATTATCCGGGTTACAGGTCGAAAAGGCCTCAGCGTCAAAAGTGGCGCTGGGGAATGTAGACTGGGCAATTTTCAATAATTGCCGGGCATTTCGAGATAGAAGTTGAAGTTTTTGAGACCCTGTGTTTTCCTTCATCAGTTCAAATTCATTCTATCAGTGGGGCAAAACTCATTAGCCGAGTTAATTTGGAGTGCCTTACCGGACTCCCACATATCTAGAAGACCAGGAATGAAAACTCCCAGGCTATTCAAAGGAATTGGCAATCCTAATAGACCCGCCAATGTCGCGGTGATATCTGATTGCTGAACAGTTTGATAAAATCGAAGATCGTCTGGGGTTGCGATGGGACTTTCGGCCCGCGGAGCGTCCATTGTTTCAAACTTGGGCGAAATGAAGAGCAGTGCTGGCGAAGTTTCACCAGCAGATGAGCCACCGTGATTCCCGGCTTCGTTCATGCCGTGATCGCCGCACAGAACAAAAAGAGTTGACTCCAGGTGAGACTCATGTTGAATGGCGGTATAGATGTTATCCACAATGGCATCCATTTCCTGCTGTTTGGACAGCATGAAGGGGCTATCCAAGAGTCAGAGACGAGACGGCCGAGGGAAGTGAGTCTTGGATAGGTCTAGCAAGGGATGGAAATACCTTCTTGGACCTGCCTTATGTCCGATATGGTCGAGGCCTAGATAATGCATAATCATGGCTGACCAGTCGCTTTGGGCCAACTCATCAGGAACGTGGCGAGTCACGTTATTGTCCACTTCGGTAAAGTCCTATATCATAAATGTTATGTTTAGATTGAAATCACGGCTGTTGGCGTGTATATCCCGGGTAGATTAGCACTAACCGACACAAAGAAACTTGTGGTCCCATCTGCACGGTCAAACATCCCTGGGAACAGCTTGAGCCACGTATCATCACCGTACATGACAAGGCGATCGCCCCTAGCTCTCAATTGCGCCAGCCATGTGTCCTGGTACGCAAGAGATGAGCCGGTGTCTGACTCGGCGATGTTGAGAATCACATCAAGGAACGAGGGCACTGATCCCGTAGTCATGGCCTTCAATCGAGGCATTGTGACCGTTGGCGAGCTAGCATGGGCCGTGAAAGGCAAGGCAGCCCCTGCTCGAATTAAGCTAATAGAGAATCAATAAATATTCCATAACCTTCGACTTTATAGGTTTATAAAATGTTAGGAAATAAAGCAAACCTTTGCGTGAATGAAAATCCAGACTCATTGGAATAGACAAAATCGCTATAAACGGGTTTAGTTGAATGTTGGATGAATGCCGCGAGATGGGTCCAGGTTCTGCTAAATGAGCCCGGTTTCTGTTTGATCACATACCTGCGGAGTGCATCGACGACCATGAAAATGACCTTGTCAAAGATTGCTGGCGTGGCATTTTGGTCGATCTCGTCAAAAGTAGCCAGGCCAGGTAGTAGCGGTTTATAGGGGAAGAAGCCAGATGAGAATACCAGAATACCCAGTGGCACCAGGATATTGGCGAGTACAACAGCCCAGCCAGAGCGGAGAAAAGCCATTGTATAGAATCTCTCTCTGGCCTTGCTGCAGCGCCTGGAATAGCTTGAAAGAAGCGAGCAGCGCGGTTTAGCGAATGGCGATCATGATAGATCACCATTGCGGATGTTTACGATAGCCGGCATGGAACCACACCGCCTTCTCCATCCATGCGGTTACATATTTCACAACTGAATATTTACTGTAGGAATGTCGGAGCATACGGGGTAATACTGTAATGGGAGGTCGATATGGTCAAGGTGAAATAGTTCACGTCTATCAAATGCGAAAGACAGAGACGTTAAAAAATGGGGAGACAAAAAAAAAACATAAGCCCGTACCCTCGGGAGACTCCCAACGCCATGGATTCTTCTTCAACTGCATCAAACCCGTCTCGTCCACTTGCTTTTTATTCTTTTGTATGTCCAATCATCACTTCGAATATTCACTTTCTCTTCGAGCCCTTCTTGTCCTTTCCATTGGTCTTGGGCTTAAACACCATGGAGTTGCGGGGTTTGCGATTGCGCTGCTTTTGCACGCGGCCGGACTTTTGAGATCGAGTTGAGGAAGAGGGCTTAGTATCGACGTCCATATCTATAGTAATAGTCAGAATTGAGTACATAATATCGTTTGGCGTGAGGAAACGGGGCCGACTGACCTTCGCTAGTCGCAGCTGTCTTGCCATCTTGTTCTGCGCGGGACAAAGAAGTTTAGCGGGGGTTTTGGGGACAAGAGGTAGAAATCAAAACCTCGATACGGAGTAGTAACAAACATACCGGCCTCAGCAGATTCAACTTCCATTTCCTTCCTCTCCGGGCGAGGTTGGTCGGCGAGCTCTTGTAGTTTAGTGGCAAGACGTTCAGTCCGGGCATCGACGACGGGACCAAAGAAGGTCTTGCGAAGGTTGGCGCGGTTGCGCTTGGAGACGCTGGCGCGCACACTCTTGGCCATGATGTCGGTATATGGAGGAGAGAGGGAAAGAAGGGAGAAAAAGGGTGGACAGGAGGGGAGGTTGAGGTTGTGGCCGTGAAAGTCAAGTCAAATCGGAGGTCCGCAGTAGTTTTTTTTTATCGCAATTTTTTTTATCGCGATAGCCACTTTGCTCCGTCTTTAGTCATCCAACCTCACCTCTTGCTTGCATCGCGCCCTCTTCCCAGGCCCTGTGCTCAATGTTCTTTGGGGGCGAAACAATATCTCGGTGACGAGAAGATTGAGATGTATCTGCGCAGATTCTATATTGCAGACCCGGTCGCATTGCATTCCGCTTGACTGTTTCCCCGTCCCGCAGTATTTCCACCATGGCGTCTTCGCAATCGTCGACGGAGGTGCCACATCTGGTAGCACTCATTAAGACTCTCACCAACCCTCAATTGAAGGATCTTTTGCGAAATGAAGGTCTCGCGGTATCCGGGGTGAAAGCGTCGTTGCAGATCCGAATTATTGACTGTTTGTCTCCTCTGCTCACCCTTCCCCTCCCCCTCTCAATCTCTCTGCGTCTGCCTCAAACCCTCCGCGCTTTGCGCTCCACCCTTCCTTGTCCATGCCATCTTTCACTCGCCCTCAGTCCCGGCCATACCTCCCTTCCATTTCGCAGATCCTGACTTTCTTTTCAATCAGATCTCGAACGCCTTGCCACATCGGAGGGGAATGACGCGAGATACGATGCGCTCAAACGCCGTGTTTATCAATCGGCAATACCTGGGGCGATGTCATTCCAATCGAATACCAACTTCCAATCCTCGCAGCCTACACAGTCAACACCACCCCACTCGCGAGCTGCACCTGCCAGCGCCTCGATGCCCTCGAGTTCCCACCCCCACGGTAAGTTCAACCGATCGATCGATACGTCTACTTTACTTAGTGTCTGACTGGTCATCAGGCCAAATCCTTTTTAAGGATAGCCCTTTCTTCACCATTCTAACAAGTCTTACATCGGTGGTGGAATGCAAAGGTATTTTATTTCTTTGTCCTTTGTCGTCATGTTCCTCCCTTTCTCCGTCTACATGAAATATCTAACCCAGTCACCGGCAGTCCGCGAGCAAACACGAGATAGCGTAGAGCTGAAAGTCATACCCTCCGCATCTGTCGCGGCAGATCTGCAGGCAGATCCAACTCTCCGAGTCATGGTCTACTGTGCAGCCGACTCAGGGCTGAAGTCATATACAAAGTCTGATATCGCATTTCCACACCAAGTGGAGCTGAAGGTGAACCTAGATGAAGTCAAGGCAAACCTTCGAGGGTTGAAGAACCGACCGGGAACGACTCAGCCCGCAGACATCACGAATTACATACGCAAGAAACCGAACTATACAAACAATATTGTTATGACTTACGCATTGACGCAAAAGGTAGATTTTGCTGCGGCTACCTGCGAATTGTTATGATTGCTGATACATATCCCAACAGAAATTCTTCGCGCTCATCAACCTTGTTCGGTTACACCCTGTCGATGAGCTTGTCGGTCAACTGCAAACGCGGAAGCTCATCTCTAAGGAACAGGTTATTCGAGAAAGTAAGCATGGGCCATGAGCCATCTCCTCCCGAAAGACGGTCTTTCCTTACAGTGTTCCTCTAGTGAAAAATCGTGCCCAGGATTCAGACATCGTTGCAACGTCCAGCGTCATGTCGTTGAAATGCCCATTATCGACTCTCCGAATCCAAGTCCCGTGTCGTTCGATTGTCTGCACACACAACCAGTGCTTTGATGCATCGTCGTTCTTAGAGTTGCAGAAGCAAGCGCCAACTTGGACATGCCCAGTTTGCTCCAAGTCCACCAGCTTCGAATCCCTCCAAGTCGACCAGTAAGTACCACTATTATAAAAGGACTTTCGTTGCCCTGGAACTTTTCAATTAACAAATGCTAGATATGTTGATGAGATCCTACAATCCACGTCTACAGATGTGGATCAGGTTGTCGTTGAACCTAGTGGAGACTGGACCAACCCAACCGATTCAGACATCGCCAAACCGGGCGGGGTGACACCAGCATCAGACGACGACGATGACGATGATTTGATCGAAATCAGCCAGCCGGGATTCCCCACACCTACTGTTAAGCAGGAACCCATATCCTCCTCCACAATCATGTTGGAGCGAACGCCCGCGCAGTCTCAATCCAGAGAAACATCGACGCCGTCTTCTGCGATTAGGGCTTCAAGCAAAAAACGTCCAGCTTCTGCTATCATTGACTTGACAGCAAGTGATGATGAAGATGACGAATCCCCCATGCCTCCAATTAAACGACCAGCTTTGAATTTCGCCGTGAGAGAACTACCGCCTCCAGATCATCCTAGGTCATATCCACCGCAATATTGAATTGAACGTTGGTCGGATAACTAGTCTAGGGCTGGGTGTCCTTTTTTTCCACTTCATGTCTAGTAGGGGATTTTCTTTTCTTCTTCCCTTCATCTCATGCATCCTGCTGTGGTGTTTCTGGCGTGGATATGGTTCTCTCTGGGTTGCTTGCATTCGGGTTAGCTTCGGCGAACAATGATTGGTTTCTATTTTTTCCCCATCCTTATTTCCCATGTAATTTTATTTTTTGTTCCCCGTGTAGATTTAGATAGGATCATATAAGCCCCCCCATCCCCATTGGTACTATAGTGGCCGCAACTGCAGCTAGTTGCCTGAGGCGGCAGAGCGGGCACTGCACTCCGCCGACCCGACCCCGAGCCTACCTTAGCCTTGGCAGAACAACTTCCCCAATCCAATCCAACCCAACACCCCTCTCACCCAGATCACGTCTCGCCCACCATGTCATTCGATGCCTCCGCCTCATTAACGATCTCCGATCCAAACGCGCGCGCCCTCAGCTCCTCATGTTTCGACTTCCTCCTTATAGAATTGGTCCCCATGGCCGAGCGCCTGGCAAAGCAGTTGTCAACGTCAACAGAAGAGACCGAACCCGAAGATGAAGAGGTTAGAGAATCAACTTACTTTCGCCTGGACTCTTTGGGATATCGTGTTGGTCAGGGATTGGCGGAGAGGTATGTGACAGTTCTGCTGCGCGCGAACTGGGCCTGACTCCCTACTCTACTCTTCGCTATGCTATGCTTCGTTCTCGCGGGGGGCCGAGTAAATTGGAAAAAGACACAACCGACTAACAAAGTCCGATGTTACAGGTTCTCGCGAGATCGCCCTCGTTTCACCGATAACCTCGACGTCATCAAATTTCTGTGCAAGGATTTATGGACCGTTCTGTTCAGAAAGCAGATTGATAATTTGAAAACAAACCACCGAGTGCGTTCACCGCGAAGCTTCCCCCGCCCCGAGCTCCGAGGACTCTTCCAGGGGCTAGCTAGCTAGCTAGCCAGCTAGAGAATACCCGTGCTTTCATACCCAAATCCAATCCAAACACGAGAGCAAAGCGGACTAGGCTAATACAGTTCTTTTCTTTCGGTTACAGGGTGTATACGTCTTGACAGATAGCGCATTCCGACCCTTTGCGAGGATGAGCATGGCTGCGCGAGGTGATGCGGTATCAATGGCGCAAGCGGTACGTTTTCTCTCCAGAAGGAGTCTCCCTTCCTCTCTTTCCTGCGGGAGTCCCGCAATCGAATCAAATCCAAACTAATAACTCCGGCGTCTAGTATCTCTGGTTTCCCTGCGGAGTAATTCGAGGCGCATTAGCCAATCTCGGAATCAATACCACTGTGCAAGCGGAGACGTCGGAATTACCGGGAGCTACGTTCCAGATTAAGACTGTTCAGGCGAGGCCTTGAGGCAATGGGTAATGGGTAATTACAATTGCGAAGCCTACGCCCCCTTCCAGGCTGGCCTGGACTGGACGCAATCATATCACATCACATCACATAATGAACATAAGCGCTTGCATTGCAGCAGCATAACGCAAATAAGGCCCGCTTTCCAGCTGGACTGGACTGGACCTGGACTGGACTGGTTCACCTCACGCTTTCCCTCCTTGCGAAAAATTACCTTTCCTTGGATTGGATTCGAGCTCAGGGCCTTCTTTCTACATAAGGCATGAGGGTCCCTAACCATTATGCCGGGCCAGGTTCAATCAACTACGGAACTTGCAACTAGAGTACGAGGATGTGTATAAAGTGGGTGGGAGAATATCTTTAATATCTTTGCTTTGCTTTGCATGCATAACAGCCGCTTTCTTTGAATACCCATAAAACACTAACTAGGGCGGAGAGCATCGCTTCGCCTCGCCCCTTGTTATATTTCTCTTTGATCGTTCATAACCTCATGATGTCACGCTTAGAGCCTATCTTCGGGAGCCACAATAATTAGCAATGATCTGACACTTCATGGGAAAGTGGACTTGGGAGGTGTGGACCAGTCAAGGAAAGGAATACACATCACAAAACAACTCAATCATAGACACTCGATGCGTAGTGGAGCGGGGAGGGATTAGGGATTAGGGATTAGGGTGGGAGGAGTGGAGTAGAGGGAGTATTACTTTGGGGGAGGGTTCTTGACGAACTCAACACCCTTCTCGATGTTGCCCTTAAGACCAGTGACGCAAGCTGCGAGGAGCTTCTTCTCCTGCTCGGTGATGCCGTCAAGGATGTTGATGGCCTTCTCGGCACCGTTGGGCTGTATCGTTTTTCGTTAGCGTATTGTACTATGTTATACACCAGGTCTTAAGCCCGTCATGGAGGATCACTTACGCCGAGCTCGACGGGAGTAGAGAAGAATTCGACACCGGTGGCCTTGGCGATCTCAGCACCACCCTCGACACCGGGCAGGTAGACGAAAGTAGGCTCGACAATGCCCTTCTCGCCCTTGGCGGCCTTGATAACGGCCTCGGCGAAGCTATTAAGATGTCAGTGGTTGGCAATATCAGCGTGATTAGAGAAGTAAACGTACCGGAAACCAGCGAAAGCCATGGAAAGAGTAGCGGAACCAGCACCATCCTTGGCCTTGACAACCTCATCACCACCGAATTGGACACGGTTGATCAGAGCATCGTAGCGGTCAGCGGGGATCTGGAAGCCGGGAGCGACCTTGCTGAACAGAGGAACAATGGTCTCGCCGGAGTGACCGCCGATGACGGGGACGGTGGCCTTGGAGGGGTCCTGCAGACCGGAGAACTCCTGGGTGAAGGTCTCGGCACGGACAACGTCGAGGGTGGTAACGCCGAACAGACGCTTGGGGTCGAAGACACCGGCGGCCTTGAGGACCTCGGCGGCAATGGGGACGGTGGAGTTAACGGGGTTGGAGATGACCAGGGTGAAGGCCTTGGGGCTGAACTCGGCGATGCCCTTGACGAGATCGCGGACGATACCGGCGTTGATCTTGAAGAGGTCGTCACGGGTCATACCGGGCTTGCCTGTATAGCGTTGGAGTTAGTAAATGGAAAGGCGAAGTGCAAATCTAGGTTTGGAGAGATCACTCACGGGGAATGCCGGCGGGGATGACAACGACGTCAGCACCGGTCAGGGCGTGCTTGAGGCCATCGTCCTTGGGGAGGTAACCGGTGATTTTCTATAAACACGTTAATATAGTTGTCCGGGTGTCCAGGTGTCATGTTCCGGGGGTAGTAACATACGGCAACGGAGGAGATGTGAGAGAGATCGGCAGTGACACCGGGGGTGTTCACAACATCGTACAGAGCAAGCTCATCGACAAGAGGGCACGCCTTCAGCAGGAGAGAGAGAGGCTTCAAGAATATTAGCTTTGATCGACAGGAATTGGACGGTGGAGGATGGATGGGGAGCTAACCTGGCCAATGCCGCCAGAGGCTCCGAGAACAACTAGAGAGAGTATATGTTAGAGAGGGGCAGGGTTCAATTCAATCCAAGATGAAGATAGAACATACCAGCCTTGACCATGATGATGGTTTATTAGATGGGATGAAGGTGGAGTAGAGGGTGGGAATAGATGGATGGGGATAGGAGAAAGATGTTGGGGAGGGGGGGAGTGAGCAAATATAAAGACACGAGGGGGAAGGTGGCAGAGAGGGGCATATGAGGGGCAACCCCGGAGTTACCCAGACCAGCTGCAACCAGTTGGGACCGACTGGGACTGGGACCAACTGGTGACTTGCGATTTGTTTCGGCAGCCGCTTGTTCCAAAGTGGATCGTCGTCCTTGTCAGAAGCTACACCGAAGCGCCTTATGCGTCTGTTTGCACGGCCTTTCTAGTTTAGTTCTTCCGTTGCCTTTTCAGTACATTGTGTAGTGTATTGTGTATATTCTAGTACATCTGTACTCCATATACCCAATTGAGGCACAGAATGTACATACCCAAAATATCAATTGCCGAACTCACTGGAAAACATTCCCCGTGTCACAGTCCACATATCCCAGGGAAATTGCCGCCGTTCCGGCCGTTCTCGTGCTACCCTTGTGATTCTCCGATATCTTGGGCTCCGTCACCCGGGAAAAGGCGGGACCTCAAGAGTTCCGACGGTAAACCAGATGTCATCATCGAACGTACCTTGTGTTAATTAGGTGCCTATAGGCTATAGGTCACTCTGTACCTATCGATTGTCTACACTACTTGGTCACAGTAGACCCGCTCTACCGTGCCCCCGAGGCTCTTTACCGTGAGCTCGGCCCGATTGTCGGCTGGTACATATTGGTATCTAGATCCATGAGTATAGGATGATTACTTTGCCGGGTCCCATATTTTCTGGGCTTGGGCTTGGGCTTGGGCCTGATGTTATGCTGTTCTGTTCAATGTAGAGGGTTCTTTTGAATTGAAAAATACTCCTCTCCCTTCCTCCTCACTTTTTGATTCTTTCAAAAGATCGGAGCAAAAGGTTCGTCCGTGATCCCTCCCTTCCAGCCTCCGGGAGAGTGTCACTAGTCGCTAGATTACACGGAGGCCTGTGTCCTCATCCAGCCCGTGGTTTCATATAAGAATGTAGGATTCCCCCATCATAATCAAAATCCACCACGAATTCATTTTTCCCTTCCCTTCCCAATTCGCTCATTCGTCACTGTTATGTTCTGGATGAGTGACGAATTTACTCGGCCTTCTCCTCAGCCTGGGCCTTGGAGCCACGGGGCTTGCGGGCAGGGGTCTCCTTCTTGGCCTTCTGGGAGCGGCGGACGGCAGAGACACGGGCAACGGCCTCCTCGCGGAGGTCAGCGCGGTAACCGTGCTGGGCGGTCTTGTCGGCAACACCCTTGTAGATCCTGGTAGAGAAAGGTTCGAGGTCAGCATCGTTTTCCTTCCGCGCGTGGCGTTGCGTGGCATAGTATCGCTTGCGACAAGCCATGCCATGCCATATGCCAAATTGGGTGGGTATGTTCGATTCAGCCTTACTTGCGGGTGCTGGCGTTGGGGCCGTAGGTGACGGTGACCTGGTTCTGGGCGGGCTTGTTGGGGTTGGCAGCCTTCTTGGTGGTCACAGCAACACCGCCATTCTCGGTAGCCTGGACACCAATGGCCTATGGGTTTGCGAAATCAAGTTAGAACATTGTATTGGGATGGGTTTCGTTGCGAGTATCGATATGGTATGATATGTACCTTGGTGTTGGCGAAGCCGGAGTACTAAAGATTCCAGTCCAATCATTAGCCCATGTTCAAAATTGATATAAAACCATCCAAGCCCAAATTGCTTGCTTTTCCCTTCCTTCTTTCTGCGGGGAATTCATCGGATATCCCATACCTTGAAAGAGTGCTTGTTGACCAGGTTCAGGGGGTCGCGGGAGAACTGGGAACCACCACCGGTGTTACGGCGAACCAGATAAGAGTTCTGGTTACCTGTAGTAATTCAAAAAATCACCATGTCAGTCGAATGTCATCCATTTCTCAACTGCCTCCTTCCAAAAGGCGAAATTCAAAATCATGGGAAATCGGGAGCGTACGGGTGATCTGCCAGACCAGGTCGTTGGAGACGTTTGTGCGTTCGGCGGCCATTATGACGGTATGCTGGAATCGAATGGATTAAAGAGGGAATCGAAGATCGGACTATGGGCGAGCTCGTAGGGTCTCGAAGTGTGCGATGCGCGCTGAGCTCTCGCTAAGCGGGCCGCTTTAGGAATAGATTGTGGGCCTGACCCGTCAGGCTGCAATCTCCCGTCATTTATGTACATTATGTAATG